AGTCAAGAATGAAATAAATTTAAGTTTTCCTGATATTTTTTAGACATGTGTCTACCTTGGATAGGCTTTCTTGAAAATGCTCTAACACAAAAGTTATTTTATTAAACAAATAAATCTTCAGCTTTCTATATAGTATAGATAGATGCAATTTGTAAATAAATTGGTATACGAAGGGGAATTCTATCTACTAACTAAGGGAGCCCTAGACTTAATTTACACGATACACCGAAATGAGAGTGTTCCACGTACTCAAGTACTGTCCTGCAATCTTAAAATTGTATTAAATTAGATTTATTTTTTATAATTCTTATTATAAAGCGAAGCATGGTGTAGGATCGAACTTTTAAAAATAAAAATTTTCATAGATGTAAAATAATTCAGTTTAAAATGCAATTGATATCGCGATTGTCACTAAGTCGAATTTGAAGGGAATAATTCTAATATTGACGTGTGTTACGTTAGTTCTAAGCCAAAATAGGTCGATAGCACAGTGTAGATGGTATATGGAAGGGTATTACCTACTATCTAGTGAGCCCTACGTACTTACCTACTTGTCTGACATAAAACGTAAAATCACTTACAATGTATATTTTAACCTTTAATAAAATTGTCCCTTTAAAATCTCACTAAAATAAAGATAAGCAAACCCGTATACCGCGCTTATAGGTCATAAATGCGAAAGGAATGTACTTAGGAGCGCGAGATGAGACAGATATAGGGTTTGGACGAAGTGGAAGAGGGAGGGAGATATAAATTAAGGACCTCTTATGGCAGGACACTTGGAGTGAAAAAGGTTGTATATGAAATATTTATACGTGAATTTATTGTAATTTTTTTTATACATTTTATATAAAAATAAAACGATCTTAACGGTTGAAAACGCCAAGTTTTAACTTTGACATAAGGGACAACCTCAATCCTTATTCCCCTCGTGACCGTGACGTCGCGCCGTAAAATAAATTATAAATAACTGCAACTAATCCATTTCGCGTTTTTTTTCGTTAAATTATTTAAATTAACGAAGCTAAAACTAATATATAAATGTTAAGGATTAGATGTTTCGTAGTCTATAACTTAAAAATATGGGTGTCATCATAAAATAATAAAGTTGTATCTATCAGTAGTTTTTCATATAACAAACGAGACAGATTTGACGGGTTCGTTGGTCTAATGGTAGCAATGTATGGCTAACAAACAACGGGGCGTGGGTTCGATCCCCACCGGGTCTAACATGTAAAGAATTTATAATTTTTTGAAAAAATGTTCTGGAAACAATCTAGAAATTTGAATATCATATGAGCAGATAAGAATCTTTAAATTCCGCGGAGGTCGTGATCCACCATCCACAGATAAAAAATTCGTGTATTTTTATCGCGTTTCGGGTTTAGTTAGTGCCATAAAAAAGCCCATCCCTTATTTTCGAAAATGTTTTAAAACAGTAAATTATTTTCGCACCATATGCTGCGAAATAAAAGAGGCTTAGTAGCCTAATAACAAAAACATCATTTTTACAAAAAAGGAAAATAAAAAAAGCAATTAACTTAGGCCAAAATGAATTTGTACTATTATTTGTGTAAGAATTAATTAACAAGTTTCGGTCACTGTGCACTTGTAGATTAACATTTTTAGACAATATGAAAGATGATATAAAGAAGTCAAGTCATGAAATTGCAGTTAAGCTACTCTGTCTCTAGCGGCCTCATATTATCTATATAGAACACGGAGACAATCAATTAACAATTTTGTTCTACATAAAAAAATAATAAAATTTCTTATACGCGGCCAGTACCAAAGCATGACAATTGACAATAAAATTTCGAGGCCACTAAAACCTCTTTCGAACAATACGCAACGGCTCATTGCCGAAAATTCATCACGTCATTTTCCAGTAAGCGCCACGGCTCACTTACTGAAAACTTATCGAAAACCTGTAGCTCTACAATTCGTTCCAATCGAAACTAAACTTTATTACTCACTATTACAGTTCATTTTTTATTAACACATAATCATTTAAGGATATAAATTTCGCGCCAAAGAGAAGTGTGATTTATGAACAGGCGATAAGGTTTATTTTTGTTCGAACAGCATTTTCCGTTCTGATAAGGGTCGTCCATTCACAAAGACCTCCCTTGTACCCCCTGTTTTGTATGCGTCTGTTGTATAAAGTGGGTAGTTTGGCATATACGGGAGGTCTTGTTAGCTGGTCTGCGTTCAAAGCTGGATTTGAAGCGTTCGCCAAGCTCAGTTAGTCGTCAGACGGGGCCTAGCCCGGACGACTGTTGAAATAATCCAGTAGAAGATGAGATCTGCTAATTATATTTAGGGTAAGTTTTTAAATAATATTACACAATATAAATAAAACTCGGAAAGACCATGTGACCATGCTACAAAACGGGCCGTAGTTAAAATAATTTTCAAATAAGTTTCACTAATAACGCGTTTTAAACGGTTGAAGTGTTTTATTTAAATGTGTACTACTCGCGTTAACTATAGACAGTATTTAGTACCACATAATACAAGTTACAACCGTCTCTTGGCGACCGCGTTTATATGCCCGTTCCTTATCATTCTGTAACGATAAGTCATCTTCTGTGTCCTGCCTGACCGAAACAATTGTCTGCGATTCGAACTAAGGTCCTAACATTTTACTCAATACTTTCAACTACCGAGGCAGTAGTCTATTGTGTATTTGAGTACTAAATAGAATAAATTGGATTATCAAATTCTAATTTCATAATCCCAATTTGGGGGGTGAATATCGAACAAAGAATTAGAAATATGATATAATTTTAATAAAACTTTTAACTAAATACTGTCTATAGTTTACGCGAGTAGTACACATTTAAATAATAATATAAAACACTTTAACGGTTTAAAACGCGATATATTAGTTAAACATATTTGAAAATGATTTTTAACTTCGGCCCGACGTTTCGGATGCTTTGCAGCAGCCGTGGTCACGTCTCAATATCAAGTTTCCCCGTGACCACGGCTGCTGCAAAGCATCCGAAACGTCGGGCCGAAGTTAAAAATCATTTTCAAATAAGTTTAACTAATATATCGCGTTTTAAACCGTTAAAGTGTTTTATTAAAAAAAACTTTTAACTGTTTACGTTAAATATACTAATTAACTTATTGCCGTAGGGCCGCAGATAATTTAAATAAATAATCAGTTACCTAATATATTTCGTGTTTTGAACCGTTAAAGGTGTTTTGTTCAAATTATATACTTATTCTAAGTGGCGTAAAAAACATACGATACTTAATTATGATATTGATCGTCGTAAGGATGTAAAATTTATGGGATATTTTTTTTTATTTTAATATAATAACCCAAATGTATGTTTGAAAGCTTTACTTTATTTTTTTCATGTTATTGCACATGAAGGCACTATATAATTTAAAAATCGATAATAAATTGAAAAAAATTTCGACTCGGGCAGGGCAACTGAGCTACCTGGTAAATTGGTAGAGCAACAGCACGGAACGTTGACGATGCCGGTTCAAGTACTGCCCGAGTCGAAAATTTTATCAATTTTTTTTCGATTTCAATCCCAAATTATTTTTATACAATGTAGGTAGTTAGTGTCTTTTAATTCAACCCGAACGAAAAATATAAATTTTAGGTTATATATCTACTGCTTCGCTTATTTTATCTTACCTTACTAAGTTTTCTTATCTTACTATTACATACTCGTATATTTCAGGTTTTCATCCGTTAAACGTACATAAATTTCGCAAAAAGAATTACTATTTTCAATAAAAAAAAAAATGAATTAAAAATGAGTTCATCTTTTACCATGGAACTTATATGTACTTGCAAACTGACCAATTCAATGCGAAATCAAAGCTAAAATAGTGCGACAGCACAACTAGTATAGATCGCTGGGGTGTTTCATACCATCAAGATGCCCATGCTTATTTGCCCTCCTGTATTGAACTTTAAATAAACAATTATATGTTCATTTCTTTTAAAACATAAGAATCAAATACTGTCTATAGTTGACGCGAGTAGAGTATTTAAATAAAACACTTTAACGGTTTAAAACGCGATATATTAGTTAAACTGATTTGAAAATGATTTTCAACTTCGGCCCGACGTTTCCCCGTGACCACGGCTGCTGCAGAGCATCTGAAATGTCGCGCCGAAGTTAAGAATCATTTTCGAATCAGTTTAACTAATAAATCGCACTTTAAACCGTTAAAGTGTTTTATTTAAACATAAGAATCATTTTCCAAAAAAAAAATGCAAAATAGGTCGAAAGCTATATGATCTCCAGGAAAATCTACGCAAGTCTCCAACTCTGTTTTATAAAAAAACTTGTATTATGAAAGTAGAGAACAGACAGGTCCCCACACTTGATGGTAGGTAAAAAAGTCCCATCCGTTGCCAAAATTCGATGCGTCGTCGACCTTTTTTGGCTATGCAAATTCGGACGTGGATCATCTGTGGATGGTTATTCGGCTGCCGGACGGAATTTCGATATTCTTGCCACCCAGATTGCCAGACAAAGTCCAACTTATTTTGGAATAATTATAAATTGATTGATATTGATAGATGTTGTTCCTGGTGGGGATCGAACGCAGGAACGCCATACATTGCTCACCAACTAGCCCGTTGAATCGTCGTCGTCTTTTAAGTATTACAGAATATAAGTGATAACGGACCAACGCTTAGGATACTTTATAGCAGCTGTCGGATCGGGTACCATCGTGTTAAAAAATCGCGATTTAAACAGTTAGAAATGCTTGAATTAGGACAATCTTGGAATTTATTTAAATCTATTGACATTGCGACGCCATTTTGTTTATGCATCTTATAAAGTAGGTATCCGTTGTAATTGAATCTTGAGGACAATTTATCCTGTGAATGGTGTCCGCGAATCAAATTTTTAAACGGTCCAATTAAATGTTATTTATCGCAGTGAAAAGACCAAATCTATTTTACGTTATTACCGCGATTAAAATAGAAGACGTTTTAAGACGCCATTGAAATCAAAATGGCGACCGGAAGTTACCGACGCACTAATGACTCCTTTCAAGAAATGGCGGCTCTGTGAATCACTTTTGAATATTTTGGTAAAGCGTAAAGTGAATATAAATTAAAAACTATGAAGGGGTTCTTTAAATTTTCCAGTTTAATTCGCTGTCAAGAACGTTTGATTTAAATAAAACACTTTAACCGTTTAAACGCGATATATATTTGTTAAACTTATTAATATTTAAAGGTAGGCTGCTGGAAAGCATCCGAAACACCGAGTCGAAGTGTAAATTATTGTCAATAACTAACATATATCGCGTTTTAAACCCTAAAGGAATTTGAAAATATCTTATCTTTATATCTAATTATATGTACCTTTACTTTACTTTTAAAATTGAATCTTGAATCTATATGATGAGTTTGTAGAATTATAGTTGTACAATACTCGTGATTACAATATTAATAATTTAGTTATTCCCTTTTTAAGGATAAAATGTATGTAAAATAAATTATTAAATATTACATTTACAGAAATCAATCGCGTTTATTAAAATATTTCTACGTAAACACGATATAAACTAATAGGGCTTCTTAATAATATGACGCATTTAGTCAAAGTATTATATAAAAGAAAATAAATTGAAAAAATTTCAACTGGGCAGGACTTGAACCAACATCATTATCGTTCTGTGCTGTTGCTCGCTGCTACTGAGTCCTACACCTCATCGTCGTTTTTTTTCAAATTTTATTGCGCGAGAGGTGCATGCATCAATAAGTTGAAATAATTCGACGATAAGGTGTAGGACACATCACTTTTCTTTTCGCAAAAGTCGTAACTACCCTCATTAAAACTATAATATGTCATTACATTTTATATAAGTTCTCCTTTTTGTAGATTGACCATGGGCGCCGCCTCTGACGGCCTGGACATGGGCGGGTGGCGTGCACGGATCGCCGCCCTGCGCGAGTCCAGAAAACTGGTCCTAGTCATCGTTGCTATCGCGCTCCTCCTTGACAACATGCTGTTGACAACTGTTGGTAAGACAAAAGAACAAGTATGAATTCCTATTTCTCCATATTGGGGTACGAAACAGACATATTTTGTGTCTGTTTCACTGATCGGGTTTATCTATACTAATATATAAAGCTGAAGATTTTTTTTTGTATGTTTGAAGACGCAAATTTCAGGAATTTAATTTCAGTGGGAATTGAAAAATTATTTTTGTGTTAGAACATTTATCTAGAAAGCTATAATATATCGCGTTATGAGTAATAGAAGCGAAAAAACTGCGCGAAATGTGAAAAAAACGGGGAAAATTTTACATGTCTGTGGGTTGCCGATGCGTGCGCTGCAAAAACGGTGCAAAGCGTCTAAAAATATGTATGAAAAATGATTCCTTTTTAAATTACCTAAAAAATAGTTCACGACGCTATATGTCTATCTTTAAAGATTGACTTGCAAGAACGACAGGAAGGGACGCGACCGACATCGTGGGTAACAGCTTTAGTTCATAAAGGTGAAGGGGTTTGCAAAAACGTATAGGAGGGATGCGAAAATAACGATTCTCGCGGACGAAGTCGCTGGCACAGCTAGTATTATATATGCCTTAAATTAAACAATTCATCGTTTATTTAAATATTTAGCCTGAAATATGATACATAGTGAGTAATCTCCTATATCGATATTTTTCACAGCAATTTTTCTAGTTATATCTATAAGACGTTGGACGAGGGAAGTGTCTAAAAGATAATGCTCTTAAAAATTAAGATCGTATTTTTATAATGACATTAAATGACAATTTAATAAAGACATCATGATTTATAGAGTAATACTAGCTGTGCCCGACTTCGTCCGCGTGTAATAGTGACTTGGGGTAGATTTTTTAATTATCTAGACTGTTTATTAATTTGTGTAAGGGCGTATTTAATGCAGCCAATCTATGTTGTAAGTCCTACTACTCTAACTCCCACTCTCACTCCCACGCCCACGCCAACGTCAACGTCAACGCCATTCCCAAAAAGTCAAAGAAGAAAGTTTCATTGTTCTAGCTTCAAATACAACTAATTTCCATACAAACTTTCACCCCCCTTTTCAACCCCTATCAACCGTTGTTGACATTAAAAGTAACCTAGTTCCTTTCACAGGCTCTAAATATAAATATCTGTGTACCAAATTTCATTTTAATCAAAGTTGTTTCGGAGTTAAAGCCGGACGGACAGACAGAGTTACTTTCGCACTTATAATATTAGTATAGTTTTTTAAAAAAGTTGATTTTAAACTTAACGTTACGTAAAGAAATACTGGCATTTTATTGATAGAAAAAGAAATTGTTATTAAAAATATATAGCTTCATATTTAATATTTACCACAGTTATCGGAATCTATACTAATATTATAAATTTGAAGAGTTTATTCAAACCCGCTCATCTCAAGAATTACTTCGAATTGAAATATAATTTTTGTTTTGAATAGATCTTTTATCGCGAAACGCTTTGGGTATAGACCGGTAGCAGATAAGTAATAGAAGGAAAAGTGAAACAAATACGGCGAAAATTATTAATTTTTGAGGGCATTCGTTGTGAGTAGAAAAAAAAAGTGTCAGATTTAGTATATGTCTATGGCATCTAACCTTGTCTATGGCAATCAAGTGGACGAAATACTTAATATATTCATCACATGGATATAAAATAAAATATATTTCACCCCATTTTAAGTGTTTGAACGAAAATAAATAATCTTATAGCGATATTACCAATGACATCTAACCGCATACATTTACGCGGGAACCATCACCGGCCACAGATAAGCAAAGGTAAAATGGCGGCCAATCGGACGAGTGGTTCATGAATTATTTATCTGTGCTTTTCGATTTTTCTCCCCCGACTCTGTTTGAACAGTTACTTAGCTAATAAAATAAATAAAAGCTTGTTTAATTTATGTTTTAAACGAAAAAAGTTTGGGAGGGACTAACTTTTAGACTTTCAACCGCCTCGCTTTCTTTTCGTAAGGAAATATGTACAAATAAAACAAGATTACTTTAGTTCTTTATAGATGAAACAATATATGCTATAAACTTCAATTACTATAAATGTTTAAATATTTGTAAAAGTATTAAAACTCCATGCTTCGGTTCCATATTTTTGGATATTCTTTACAAATGAAGCTGTAAATGTTGAAATGAATAAAAAGTTACTTGTTAAATATTTTCATAGAATCGCGAAGTTTTTGTGTAACTGGCTAAAGGAATTCCAAACATTCTTGTTTATTCCAAAAATCTTAATAAAAATCAAACGGTAATTTTCTTTAAGATTTGGTTTCATTAAAATACAGATTTTCATTCAAAATTACAATATTATTTGTACACTTCTATATTCTATCAATATTATAAACCTGCAGAGTTTGTTTGTTTGGCCGCGCCAATTTCAGGAACTACTGGTTTGATTTTCTGTTATTAAGACCATTTATCGTGGAAAGCTTGAGGATATAAAACATCAGACGACCTCGTGACCAAATAGAAGAAAAGAATAAGCTTTATTTGTCCCGATTATTTACATAGTTAACAAAATATATAAAATGAGTACATATACAAAATTTTTTATATCTCTATCATTAAGAAAAACTCCCCGTCCGATACAAAAAAGGTCGTCAAAAGTGATTTTGCATATTAAGGTCGTTAGGACTATATATAATCGAAATTCCTTAATCCCTGTATTATCTGTGGCAACAACTTCACTCTATAATAGGCCACCACTAGTTCTCTATGGTTCGATATCGGCCATATTTGTTGTGGTCTTTTGCAAAGTTAAAAATCTGTAAGCTACGCCACTATTTTAGACGCCATCTTTAACACATTAGAGCCGTGACGTCACTTCCGTCATTTTCCGAGTTAGTATATCCGAAGTACTGGCTGTGGCCGGAAGCGAAGCAATTTAGTAAGCGGCGAGATCAAAGTGAAACTCACTTAAACGCCTCATCAAAGGACGTGGCTAGTGATGGGAAAGTATCGATAAAAATGACATATATACCTACATCCACAGCAGAGCAACAGAACGGAACGTTAATGCCGGTTCAAGTCCTGCTCGAGTAGTAGTATTTTTTTTTTAAATTTATTATCGATCTTTAATTCATAATTATAGTACCATCAGTTACAAAACCATGTGAAAGAAATATTAAAGTTTTCAAAGTTAGTAATTTTCAAAGCTATCGCACATTGCTATATGTTGGTCCTGAACAGATGTTTTGTTGTTATGTCTGACTGTCTAGTATTTTTTTAATAAGAGAATCAGGCATAGACATATTATAGGAGTGTGTACTTTTTGGTAACAATGTGTTTTAACGGGAATGGAACTCAGGACATATGATGTTCAAAGAACCGCAATATTTTAATTTAATTTTTAATTTGAGCGTAAATCAGGTATACAAATTGTCTAAGTGTACAGTGTCAGTTATACAATTTATATAACTGATTTAAACATATTTTGAATTTATATGTTTAAACGCGTTTACTTACTATCTATTTTAACTACTGCCCGAAGGTTAGGATGCTTCGCAACAGCCGTGGTGTCGAGAGAACACGTAGTCCCTCTTTAAAAATGTCTTTTTCGAAATTTATCTCCTCTTTGCAAGTATCGATAGTCGATGTAAATTTACACAACACTACGCTTTTTGATGAAGTTCGCGAGTCACAAATCGAATTGGTTCTAGTTTTCACTTCTACCAGCTTCAATCAAATTGGGCGTGCACTGGAAACTTCAGTTTTATATAATTAGTTTTAGATTAGACTGGTTTCAACGTCAAACATTATAAACACAACACAGACATACAATGATAGATTTAAATACTGTCTGTAGCTTACGCGAGTAGTACACATTTAAATAAAACACTTTAACGGTTTAAAACGCGATATAATAAGTAAGTTACTGGCTGCTGCAAAGCATCCGAAACGTCGGGCCGTGTAATAATTTTTAAACAAGTTAAACAAAATTTTTTTTTTTTTTTGTTGTGAAATTCCGTCGCTCCGACACATTGCTATATCCGTTTCACACATCAACTTACTGTCATTTAGACGCCAGTGTTTAACTCTTAACATGTGAGGTTATACATGTGAGGTTATATACTGTTAATGAGAATTATGTACTGATAACTGTCTTGTTAAATTAAGACAAACTATCTTTGTTGCGGTGAAATTTTCCACGTCTCAATTCCTTCAAAATTATTTACGAATTGTAAAAGCTATGTTGCCCGCTTGTTTGTTCAAATTTGCTTGGAAAATCGAAATTTCGTCCAACCACGGTCCACAGATACAAAGCTTCGGCTTCAGTCTGTAGATTTCCAAATAACCGAAGCCAAAATAGATCTAAAGAACATCTTGTTTACTTTTTTAGCGAAAAGGGGGTTGTAAGTGGTTAAAAGGTGAAAGTTTGTACGGAAATTCGTGGTTTTTGAAGAAATTGAAACTTTCTTCTTTGGCTTTTTCGGAATAGGAGTGGGAGTGGGAGTGGGCGTTAGAGTGGGAGTGATGAGAGGTGAGAGTATTGCGGCAAAGTAACACTTACAACATAGATTGGCTGCGATAAATCCGCAATTACATACATTAATAAACAGCCTAAATCATTAAAACGAAGTCGCGGGCACAGTTAGTATTTTATATTTTCAATCGATGGATTTGATTGCGACACTCGAGCGGTAGTGTGTATGACAGTTGATTACTAGTGAGGCCCTCGACATCGATAAATTGAATTTCATCGTGCAATCGAGTTCGCTCCGTATTTATTATCAAAGGAGTCTTTAATATTTTTATAATTGGGTGTTTGAAAAAGTTATTAATTTTTATATGTATTGCACATGAAGGCACTATATAATTTAAAAATCGAAAATAAATTGAAAAAATTTTCGACTCGGGCAGGAATTGAACCGGCATCGTCAGCGTTCCGTGCTGTTGCTCTACCAATTGAGCTACCGAGTCCTACACCTCATGGTTGAATTTTTTCAACTTATTTGAAATTTTTTTCAAATTTTAAATTAATTGGGTATTTTCATCATTTTTATTAACATTTACTTAACTATTATCTGTATTTATAATAATTTTTCTTTATCTATGCTACTATATAAAGCTGAAGAGTTTGTTTGTTCGACCGCGCTAATCTCAGAAACTACTAATTCGAATTGAAAAATATTGAGTTTGAAAGACCGTTTATGAGATGTTAAAAAAACCGGAGCAAATTCTCGGAGGGCTTCCGTTGCGTGTGTTAGATTTTTTTATAAAGAGACCTAATATATAATTATAGACATTGGTTTATATGAGATTTTAAGGATACCATTAAAAAAAAAAGATATACTGTAAAAGCTATTCTATTTCATTAAACAAACTATTTCAGCAACGTTTCCCATAATAACGGCAACACATTTATTGTATAAAAACGTCTAGGAATCTAACAAATAATGGTACCCCAATATATTCATTTGAAGATATTTATCTATATATTACACAAGGTTACGATACTTAATTGACATATATTGATGCCAATTCAATGTAATAAAAAATACATAATATATCACAACCTATTTATTACAATATAATAAAGTACATCATACCTAGACTCTCCAACGTTCCACCAAGTTTGTTGGCCGTTTTTGGACCGTGTTGATTTGTAAACAAGTTTGACTTTATCGCGTTTTAAACCGTCAAAGGTTTTATTTAATGTACTACTGCGTAACCTATAGACAGTATAAATTCTTTATACGTAAAAGTTTTTTTATTATAGCAGCATTGTCAATTTTGTAATAATTCCCAGGGTTCAAAATATAAAATACAAGATGATAAAAATGATTTAAATACTCTAGTACCTATAAACATTTAAAAACAGGAAATTTTATTAAACTTATTTGAAAATAATTTTGAGTTTCCTAACGGCTTGCAAAATCCGAAAGTCGGGCCGAAGTTAAAAATAATTTTCAAATAATTTAACTAATATATCGCGTTTTAAACGTTAAAGTGTTTTATTTAAAAAATGATTTTCCCCCCACAGTGCCGATCATCCCGGAATTCCTATACGACATCCAGCACCCGGACGCTCCCCTCTCTGTCGCCCTGGAAGATTTAACGACCCCCGCACCACCAACTACCCCCTACTGCCCCTGCCTCAATGTGACAAGTGTACCTCTGGAAAATGTGACGCAACGTAAGAAAATTTTAGATCTTCTTTATGTTAGAAAAGGACAGACAATCACTCACTTGATGGTAGGTGAATTGTCCCAGCCATCTAACATCTAAACAAGTTGTACTGTAGCTTTGCATTTGGAAATCTACAGACTTATACCGAAACGCGCTTCTCCACAGCTTTATCATCTGTGAACGCTGGTTCGTGACCCGGACGTAATTTAGATACTCCTACCCCCCATCTAATATCCAGATTTCCAGATAGCGTTTCAGTAAAAATATATATTTCATTAGAAAAATATTGAACCCGGTAGGGATCGAACTCAGCTACCCAGTTGATTACGACCGACGAGCACCTCATCATGGTGATTTTGACGAAGATGTAAATTCAATCGGAGACTATCTATGCCTGTAGTTAGCTCGAGTAGTACAGATGTAAATAAAGCACTCTTCCCGGTTTGAAACGCAGAATATATTAGTCAACTTATTTTAAAGACTATCTTAAACAGTGTACAACGCGATGATATATAATTTAAACTTATTTAAAAATTACTTTCACTACGGCCCGACGTTTCGGTTGCGTTGAACTGACTAGTAAAAATAATTTTCAAATAAGTTTAACTAATGTATTTCGCGTTTTAAACCGTTAAAGTGTTTTATTTAAATGTGATTTACTCGTGTAAACTTCAGACAGTATTTTATTATAAAATTATGTTAGACAATGTTTAATATTCTTTCTCCAGTGAACATAACAGCGGAGAAGGAAGTCCGTCACCAAGAACTGATCCATGAGACAGTGGCCGTGGGGGTGATGTTCGCCAGCAAAGCCATAGTGCAGCTGCTGGCTAATCCTTTCGTTGGTCCTCTAACACACAAGTAAGTTTTTAACCATAGACACAGATTGTCCAAGTCGATGCCCCTTCTTGCGCAAGTCGAAATTTGACTTCTACAACATACAACAAATGTAACAGGAGGTCCAGCGTTCGAATCCCGGGTAGGCAATTTTTTAAGGATTTCTACCAGAACAGAGGTTACAACCACCCATTAAACGGTTAGTGTCGGTTGTCAATTGTAATTTAATGGAGCTAATTGTCAAAGCCCACCAATCTGCACTGGAGTGGCATGGTGGGTCTAAGCGTATGGAGGAGAACTAAGCCCAATCGTGGGATATTAATAGGTCGAAACGAGAAGTAATATAACATGAATGATCATGAATTTAAATAAAATACTTTAACGGTTTAAAACGCGATATATTAGTTAACACACACTGTAACTAATATATTGCGTTTTAAACCGTTAAAGTGTTTTATTTAAATATGTACTACTCGTGTAAACTATAGACAGTTTTGATCATGAATTATATAATTGTCTTCAGACTGTACTCTGTTATAAAAAACATTGTTTTCTTATAGTATTTTTTTGCGAAAACTACCCGCACAATTGTTTTGTTGCAGAATTGGCTACAGCGTGCCGATGTTCACTGGTTTCATCTTGATGTTCCTGTCTACGATCAGTGAGTATACAAGATAAATAAAACGCTTTTTTACCGGTTCAAAACGCGCACTGTATTAGATAATACATTTTAGTATATATTCCCTCGCACCGGATTGCGCAACCAAGGGGAAACCCCTATGACAGATGACAGATAACGAAGTTAAGTGTACTCCATTTTTAAATTATGAATACAGTGAACTCGAATGGTAGCAATGTATGGCTAATGACCAACGGGTCGTGGGTCCGATCTCCATCGGTCTGCTGGACTTCGTCCTGAAATCTGAATATCAAATGGGTGCTAATCTACCGTCCATAGATGAAAGAGCCGTGAAGAAGTCCGAATATGCAAAGCTATAGGCCGACAGCGCTCCTTGTTTAGATTCGCTGTCGACCTGGGGTATATCAAGTAAACCACGTCACGTCTGCCTGCCTCTGTCATTAAAAGAAATAGTTTTAAATTGTAAAAAAAATAAAAATGAATTTACAAAGCGCTTTATTATGATGACAGGTAGACTAAATACTGTCTATAGTTTACGCGAGTAGTACACATTTAAATAAAACACTTTAACGGTTTAAAACGCGATATATTAGTTAAACTTATTTGAAAATGATTTTTAACTTCGGCCCGACGTTTCGGATGGTCTCCCCGTGACCACGGCTGCTGCAAAGCATCCGAACCGCGGGCCCAAAATAAAAAATTTTTTTCAAACATTTTTAACTAATATCGCTTTTAAACGTTATTTTTTTTTTAGACAGGTAGACTGTCAGACAACGAAGACCAGTTACTTTCTGAATATCCAAACACAACATAGGCCGACAGCACATCCGATTTAGATAAAGTAATATAGCTGGGGTATGCACCTACCATTAAGTAAAGTGCTTGTCTGTCCTCTTTGTCATAAAAAAGTTTGATCTTTGAGTACAGAATTCTAAAATTATATATTGTATTTATTGCGTTGCAGTATTCGCCTTCGGTCGTTCCTACAGCGTCCTTTTCATTGCGCGCGCGCTGCAAGGAATCGGCTCATCTTGTTCCTCCGTTTCCGGTATGGGCATGCTGGCTGAGAGATATCCGGATGATAAGGTAACACAAGGTCTTAAGGGAGGTTAAATGTTTCGTTACGTAACGCGTTATAAGGTTCGACGTATTTTACTAAGATAATCTGCTAACCAACACAAAAATAATTGTTAAATTTGAACCAGTAGTTCCCGAGATTAGCGCGTTCAAACAAACGAACACTTCAGCTTTATATAATAGTGTAGAGTTTTTTTTTGATCTGGTCCTTAGGAACGTGGGAATGCGATGGGAATTGCATTGGGTGGTTTGGCGTTGGGCGTGCTCATCGGGCCTCCGTTTGGTGGGCTGATGTACGAGTTCGTGGGGAAGACTGCGCCCTTCCTCATGCTGTCGGCCCTGGCTTTGGGAGATGGATGTAAGGATCACCAAAAAATTATAGGCTCCTCAGTCCTCATAATCAACAGATTGTACGTTCGACTGCCGGTGCAGTTTCCGCCCTTGTGATTTTTTTTTATTAAATAGTTACTGTCTGTAGTTTACGAGTAGTAAAAATTTAAATAACTTTACCGGTTAATTGAAAATTATTTTTAACTTCGGCTCGACGTTTCAGATGCTTTGCAGCAGCCGTGGTCACGGGGAGTCGTCAAGCCGTAGCTCAAATAATTTCCAAATAGATTTAACTAACGTATATCGCGTTTTAAACCGTTCAAGTATTTTATATACATCTATATAGATTTCAGCAGTAAATGTGAAGAAAAATAAAGTTTTGAAACATTCGATTAAAATGAACTACCGTCCACAGAAAAATTCAAAGCCAAAGAGTCGACAGCATATCTTGTTTAGATGTTGTATGGCTAGAGTATTTTACATTCCATCGAGTGAGCCCCCGAGCGGATCTGTCCATTACTGTCATATTAAAAAATATTAGGAAAATGTATATTTGAAAGAATTGTGTGAAATTTTAAATATTTTGTTGCTGACGTCACACTGTACTATATTTTTTTTGGCTATTTAATTATCCGCTTTACAGTGCTGCAGCTGATGATCCTCCAGCCAGGAGTCGTTCGACAGGAGACCGATCCGCCGTCACTCAAAGCTCTAATCACGGATCCCTACATACTTGTTGCTGCCGGTGAGTTATTAAACAAAAAATCATTTATAACTAACTTGAAACACTTATCAACGAAAACTGATCACCTTCTGGCCAGTAACCAAAATGATCGCGCCAGAAAATTGTTCGCCCCGTGGTCTATAGAATAAGACAGGATTTCAAACTTTACAAGGAACACAAGCAACAGGTAAATAAAACACTTTTACGGTTTAAAACGCGATATATATTAGTTAAACTTATTTTTAAAAAATCCTTCGGCGCTAACAGATGGCGCTAGTGTAGCAGTTTTTTACGTTGACTTCAGAGACACCCTCCATCTTTAGTCTCCCCGTGACCACGGTTAAAATAATTTTCACTAATATATATCACGTTTTAAACCGTTAAAGAGGTTTATTTAACTGTAAACTACTAGACAGTACAGACAACAGTTCTTTATCGACGGGCTCGATGGTCTAACTAAAATTCAACGGATCCTGGGTTTGATTTACATCAGATCATCAATAAAAAAAATTCTTGAAATAATATCGTAAATCCGTAATCGTCACGAACCACCGTCCACAGATAAAAAGTCGTGAAGTTTAATCGCGTTTCGGTTACAGTCTGTGGATGACCAAAAACTTCAGAGCTAAAATAGGTCAAGAGCACATCTGGTTTAGGTGGTACATGGCTGGGATATTTCACCTACCATGAAGTCTTGCTTGTCTGTACTTATATCATAATAGAATAAATAAGATTAACGCAGTCTGTTTTTTATTTGTCTCTTCTTGATTTACAGGAGCCATCACTTTTGCTAATGTTGGCATAGCCATGCTAGAACCCAGTCTACCCATCTGGATGGCAGACACGATGGAGGCAAGACGCTGGCAGCAGGGCGTGGCTTTTCTACCAGCCAGCATCTGTTATTTGATCGGTAAATCAAATAATTTTCGGCAAACTGTCTATAGTTTACGCAAGTAGTACACAGTTAAATAAACCTCTTTAACGGTTTAAAACGAATATATTAGTTAAACTTATTCTAAAATGATTTATCTTCGGCCCAACATTGTCTCCCCGTGACCACGAAGTCAAAAATCATTTTCAAATAAGTTTAACTAATATATCGCGTTTTAAACCGTTAAAGTGTTTTATTTAAAAGATGATTTAAACTAAAAACTTTTCGTAACTATTTCTAGGTACGAATCTTTTTGGACCCCTGGGACACAAGATGGGACGCTGGCTCGCTGCTTGCTCGGGACTTATCATCATTGGCTTATGTCTCATTCTGGTAAGAAAATTAGACTGAAAGACTTTGTAATAATGCATTAATATATGATATGATACATTGCGCGAGAGGTGCATGTATCAATAAGTTGAAAAAAATCGACGATGAGGTGTGGACTCGGTAGCTCAATTGAGTAGAGCAACAGCACGGAACGCTGACGATGCCGGTTCAAGCCCTGCCCGAGACGAAAACATTTTTTCAATTTTTTTTCGTTTTTTAAATATTATGCCTTAATTTTCCCCCCCCCCCAAAAAAAAAAAAAAGGGTTTTTTTTTAAAAAAAAGGAAAATTTTTTTTTTTTTAAAAAAAAATTTTCTTTTTTTTTTTTTTTTTTTTTTTCTTTTCCCCCCCCCCCCCCCCCCCCCCCCCCAAAAAAAAATCCCCCCCCCCCCCCCCCCCCCCCCCCCCCCCCCCCCCCCCCCCCCCCCCCCCCCCCTTTTTTTTTTTTTAACACCCCAACAACCCCCCCCCCCCCCCCCCCCCCCCCCCCCCCCCCCCCCCCCCCCCAACAAAAAAAAAAAAAAAAAAAAATATATTTTTTTTTTTTTTTTTTTTTTTTTCCCCCTTAGGTAAAAAAAAAAAAATCGAAAATCAAATTGAAAAAAAATTTCGACTCGGGCAGGACTTGAATTGGCATCGTTAGCGTTCCGTGCTGTTGCTCTACCAACTTGAGCTACCGAGGGACTTGGTTTTTCAATTTATTTTCGATTTTTAAAATAAAAACTATTCAGCCTAATAATATCCTCCTTAGATCCCGATGGCCCGAAAAATGGAGCATCTGATAATTCCCAACGCTGGACTCGGCTTCGCTATTGGCATGGTGGATTCGTCTATGATGCCGGAATTGGGATTCTTGGTGGATATACGCCATGCAGCAGTTTATGGATCTGTTTATGCGATTGGTGACACAGCTTTCTGTTTGGGCTATGCTGTGGGTGAGTCACATAAAACAGTTATATTATCATCTGTGGGGCATGGGTATATTTTGGTGGTCGATTTGATCATGGCAAGTAATTCCTAAAATATCAGACTTTTGTGTCCTACTGGTTCGATATATTAAATGTAATTTGAAAATCTATCTAGATTGAAATATGTTTACGCCACGGGTGGGACACGAACCCGCAACCGTAGCGTTCCGTGCTGCTCTAACCAATTGTCTTAACGTGTTCTACTCGCAGTAGCGTAGCTAGGTGGAAAAGGGCCCCGGTCTACGTAATCCTAAGGCTCAGAATCGGGTCCTCGTCCCCTCTTTTAGCATAGCTTGAATTGAATGAACCTCCAAAATTATAAATAGCGACAGATAAGGTTAGAGGTCCCCTAAGTTCCGGGGCCCTAGTGCACTGCACCACCTGGTCCTACGATAGCTACGCCACTGCCTACGCGTCATCGTCGAATTGAACACGTTGATATGCGCATCCATGGTGCAATGTCATATTTATTATTAAAAACTTAACATTATTATATTATATTATTTTTAGAATTAAGGTTCAAATGTCTTATGCTTCGTAACTTGTTATATATTAGTTAACTTATTGTTTGAGTCAGTTCTGTAAGGACCTTGCCGGTTTTCCCTAATACCAACAACGACGTAACAGATGGCGCTAGCAGATTTAACTTTGACATTAGGAACAACCTCCATCTTTAGTCCCTCCCGTCACTACGGCTATTGCAAAGCATCCGAAACGTCAGGCCGTAGTAAAATTAAATTAAGTTTCCTATTTCTTAATTTAAACTGTTAAAAGGGTTTTATTTAGAAGTATACTGAATTCTCTGTCACCTGTTATAATGTAAGGAGCAATGTATCTAACATTGAACCGATCAATTTTTTATTACTATTGAGGTGTCATGTTAATCCACGAACTAGTATCAAATATGAATCTCTCCTTGTACTACTCGCGGACAATGCAAGGAGAGGATTTATTAACAATTAAAAATCCATCAAATTAGGTCCAGCGTTCTCTGGAGCATTGGTCAACAGCATTGGATTCGAGTGGATGTTGGTGATCATCGCGTTACTGAACTTTGCGTATGCGCCAGTGTTGCTGTTACTTCGCTCCCCACCGGCTAGAGACGAAAAACAGGTAATCATTTTTGAATTTAGAACTTCTCTGATTAAAACTTTTGAATTTAGAACCGTGCTGCCTGGCTTCGCAATAAGCTTTTATATATAAATAAATTTTAAGTTTAACTTCATACAAGTTAAACTGTTATATGCAAGCAAACAGTCTATATAAGTTGGACGATGTAATGGAATATTTGTACATTCCTATCTGCCATAAAATTTTGTAGAACACTGCCTTCCTGTGACCACGGACACTGCAAACTGTTAAACATAAATGAATAAAGTTATATATTCGCGTTTTAAACCGTTAAAAGTTTTATTTAAATACGTAGTACAATGCTATTGTAAAAAAGTAAGCCAAGAAGGCTTACGTACTTCTTTAGTTAATTTTTGTATACATTATATTCATTACAAATACTAATATACCTTTTTAAGTAAAATTGTTAGAAACCCCGCTAACATAAGATTACATTAGCTTAGATAAGATTTAGGAAAGGGAGCCATGGTCTGGTAAATAATTATTATTGTAATAGGTTTTAATCATATGAATTCCTTTCTTTTCAGAGTTTAATAATTAGCGAGAAATCATCAGTACGCTACGTTAGCTATCAGAACGAGGAAGAAGAATAAGCCCGCCATTTTTAGGCGCCATCTTGTTACGCGCCATTTTCAGCCGCCATCTTGTAACCCGCCCGATTTATTTTTAATGTTGAGGTATGAAAGTAGGTTTTAATCAAATATACATCTCGATTGTATTGTATGTATAAGTAGACGTCGAAGCGTTTTTGCTGTATTTTGCGATTGTATATGCATAGAAATATTATTCATATATTTACCTAGACTAGTATTTATAGAGAAGTATTAACTTATACATATTTTATGCTATATCCTTACGACCAATTTTCAATACAAATCGAATATTTATTTACATCAGCTTAGTGAACATTTAAAGATATTTTAGAAAAGATTAACTAGGGCGAGACTCGAACCTATTTTCGCAACAGGAACGCTGTTAATCGTCTATTCGAGTCCCGGACGTGGTACATCTTTTTATCGTTTGTATTATGCAAGATGCAATAATTTATTCGTCACCATTCGTTATAAAAATATATAAACTCCTTGATATGTATCTACAATATTATAATATGTAACTTGTATATTGGCATATATATGTATATTAGCTATTATTTTATGCGTGTGTGACTTTGACAATATTTTTTTACCCCTAAACGCGGACAATACTTTTTGAAATGTTTAATCACTTGTTGATTTTGCACCCATTTAATTTTAAGACGGACCAAATTTTATTTTATACATGTAGCTTATAAAATACGCAACAATAATCTATATATACTATGACGTAGAATATACATATGAATAAAATATATTTAAAAAAATATCATGTTTAAAGCAAATCAAATATGAATACATCTAATGTATCTATTCGTGTGTTGGATTATGTAGTTATTATCCAATATTATTATGTAGATTTAGAAATTACATTTTATCATTAGTCTTTTTAAAATAATGTTATATAGCTTAGATTTGACGTTTCATAAATATTGCCACTTAAAAAAAAGGCTTTCGAATGTAATGGTAACAATATTTCGATTATTTATAAGTGTGGACTGTCGTTATTATAATTGTTATATAAAAGGAGAATTAAATGAAAAAAGTCGTTTATATTTCTTATAGCGTCAAAGTTATTTCTTGATTGTTTTTTCTGTATGTTTGATAGTTTAGTTCGTACATTGGAAACATTTCAAAATGGCGCCGAATTCGCTCCACAGGGTAAATAGAACAAGCGCCATTTTGTTTACTCACATATCGATTATTACGTGTAATTGATTTTATGTATGTATTCATAAAATTAAGTATATATTATATAAATTTATTTAATTCAGTAATTCAAAATACATTAAACAGTCCTAACTTACACTTTTCCATTTACGTATGGCTGCGGCAAATGGAAGAAGGAAATTAATTGAACTTTTAACCATTACATTCAATTATAACTCTTCTCTTCTAAAGTATAGTTATAAAAAATGTATGAGATTCTTTTAGCCAAGAGCAATAACAAAGAGATAAGATAATAAGATGGAAGTGTTTTAAATGGAAAATGCAAAATACTCCGTACGATACATAAAAACAAAGTTATTTACGTAACTATTAAACAAGAACAGTTTTGAGTAAATTGCTTTTGGCTCAAGGTATACTGAAGTTTTTCAATATATTCTATTATTATTAACAAGTTTTCTCAACTTAATATTAGCAATTTTAACGTACGTAGATAATCATAGGCATAGATAGTAGAGCGTACGATTTTGAATATCACATATACTTCCAATGAAGGTAGTTTTAAATAACCAAGAAGGTGTAATTGAAACTTTGACAGATGTATTCATATTTGACAGTATCTGTAGTTGCGTTTGATTAAATGATTTTGATACTCACAATAGCTGGATTTGGACCTTCAAATTATTTACAGTAAATGTTTTTTTTTATCGAATTCGGTAGATATAAGCGACCAGCGCATAGCTGAAAGTGTATTGTAGTAATAATAGATTGTAAAAATGATATTTTAGTATCGTATACATGCGTATATGTAGTATTTTTCTCATTGTCTATATAACGATATGTCATAGTTATTGTATTGAATTTATCATGGACGCTAAATGTTGTATGTGAAACTAATTTATCCATCATTCATATATATCACAGATTGAAAATTTATTTGTTAGTCTATGGTTGTTTGTTGAATACTCTGTATTGTTTAAATTTGTTTTAAGTTCAACTTGCAGTGTATTTGTGTGTTTTTGTGACGTTTAAATAAAATGTGGGTATATGAACTGAGTTCGTGTTTTATTAGTGTAAAATTCATGTATCACAAATGTAATTCAATTTGTAAATTAAACATATTCACGTAATTATATATGTATCTATGTACAAATCTCCATATCCATACTAATATTATAAAGAAGTTTTTTTGTTTAATCGCGATAATCTCGAGATTTCTCGCATAGGCAAATTCTCTTTGTGTTGGGTGGATCATTTATTGAAGAAAACCTAAGGCTACAAAACACCAGCCTGCGGCCAAAAGGCGCCTACTAACAGAGAAAAATGTGGGAAAAAACGGGGAAAATTATCATCTTTGTTTTTCGTTTATTATTATTCCGTTGCGGGCACTTCGAAACCGATTCATTAAATAAAAAAACTATACACGAAAGAGTGATTCCTGTTTAAACGATCTGAAAATATTCGTGTCAGTATATGTCTATCCTTTAACGACGGGACGCGGACGAAGTCGCGCACACGGCTTGCAAGTAGAGTATAATCTAAGTTACAAACACTATATATATATAACTTAGATTTTCTAAAATATAGATATATAACCCTATTGTTTGTATTGTATGTGATATTTTTGTGGTATATATGTTTTTGAGTCTGTCGTGGATTCGATTCCCACCGGATCCAATTCTAATCAATTTTTTATGTAACACGATGGACGTCTAGAAATGTGGAATGAGTGCTAGAAATATCTAAATTACTTCGGAGCGACGAGCCACCGTTCACAAATGCAAAAGCCATGAACTTTAATCGCGTTTCGGTTTCAGCCTATGTATTTGCGAATATCCAAAGCCGATATGACGACAGCGTATCGTATTTATGTGTGGGTTATTTTACCTACCATTAAATAACCCCCATGCTTATCCGTCTACCTCTATCATAAAAAAAAATACGAAAACGTGCCTTTAATTCTTTATTACATATCTTACATTGTCTAATAGTTATTGTTTTTTCCCTGGAAAGCGAACGCGTAGCCCTCGCCGAAGGTATGCGGTCCCCTGGGACCTTCCACATCATTGTCTCGATACTGAAAAACAAGATACAATCGATATAAAAAAACTCTTACTTGTTACTTTTACGCCTTACCCACTTAAGCCTTCTTTTTTTTCTCTTGTACTTCAGGTTGCCTGGCAGAGATCGCTGCTCGATCGATAAGGACGCCTTTTATTTATAAGTTACTTACGTAAGATTTTATCTTTTGTAGTTTACGTGGTAAATCTAAGTAATAAAGCTGAATAGTTTGTTTGTATGTTTGAACGCGCTAACCTCGGGAACTACCCGTTCAAAGTGAACAAATATTTTTGTATTGGTTAGACATTTATCGAAGGCAATAGGCTATAAAACATCGTTTTAAACTGTTTATTAAACTGAGTACTACTCGCGTAAATTGCAGATAGTATGTAAGGCTAATCAACGGGTCGTGGATCGATCCCCACCAATCCAACATTTTTCTAATAAATTTACAATCTTACTGACATGTCGGACTTTGGAAATCTAGATATCAAATGGTTGGTAGAAATATCGAAATTCCGTCCAGAACCACCGTCCACGGATGAAAAGGCAAGTTTAATCATCTTTCGGCTTCAGTTTACATCTGTAAAGACCAGATCGGGTTCGAACCCAGGGTCCAACATTTATTTATTTTATTTATTAATTAACACTTTTTTCATTTATTGCACAAAAGAAAAGAAAAATACAAACGAGAAAGCAATCTCTTCCAGACGACCCAAAATTACCCAACCCCATTATAATCATTCTACCTGTCCATCGTTGCCGTCGGGCCTCCAGTTTTGCACGAAATACTGTCCACCAGCAGGACGCTGTTCAATTGGTCCCTGTAAAGTATTATCACATTCAATTCATCTATCTTTATTATTTGATCGCCTCTGTTAAGGGTTAAGTTCGAGAAGTCCTAGGTTTGAATCACGGGATATTCGGAGATTGTCTTACTTGGGCAGGGCAGATTGTGTCAAGTACCAAGCCTGTAAAGCTATTAGTGAAACAGACACAGAAAAATGTTCGCCCCATGGCCCACGGGGTAAAAGGTACCTAAATGTTTTATAAGAACCTGGTTTGGTTCGGGGCGTTGCTGGTTGTACTGCTGTTGTGTTTCGTACTGTTGTCGCTGTTGCTCGTACGCCTGTTGGTAGTATGTGTCTAAAACATAGTCAAACGTTATATGTAGAGTGAGTATCTCACAAAGAAAATATATATGTTTAAATAAAACACTTGAACGGTTTAAAACGCGATATATTAGTTAAAATTATTTGAAAATGATTTTTAACTACGGCCCGACGTTTCGGATGCTTTGCAGCAGCCGTGGTGGAGACTCAAATAAGTTGAGAACCATTTTCAAATAAGTTTAACTAATATATCGCGTTTTAGACCGTTAAAATGTTTTATTTAAATGTGTACTACTCGCGTAAACTATGGACAGTATTTAATATATATTTTTTTATTTTGAGCATTATTTTGACAACCTTCTTCGAATAGTGTCTGAAGTCTACGTGAGTAGTACACATTTAAATGAAACACTGACGGTTGAAAACGCGATATATATTAATTAAACTTATTTGAAAATTACTTTTAAATGCGTTTGAAACCGTTGTAATGTTTTATTTAAACCTTCTTCGCGATAAATCGAACTTGCTATACCAGTCGAGCAGTGGCCGGCAATACTTGTATGAAAATTCATATCTATCGCGTTTAACGGCCAAATAAATTACTATGTAATTCAAAAATGGAACGACCGTCTACTTCGTAACATGGCGACCAAAGAGGTAACTTAACAAAGGTTTAATTTAAATTTCGAACTGGCTGGCACAGAATGCTGTAGTAATTAAATATTTTGGCGCCTAAAAACCTATTGTTATTAGTTGTTCGTCAACTTCGTCATTGGTTTTAAGTTCTGAATTGCATTACTTTGTTTTGATTTCCGCGCGTTATTACACAAAAGCCTAGCCTTGACCGAAACTGGGCGCTGATGGTATAATAATGTAAAGAATACGTAAACTCCCTTTTCAACGAATGTAAAGAACAATGTCTTTATCTCCATGGAAGAATGGTCCTCAAGGAGCTTACCTGAACTTTGCGGCGCACTCGGCTGTGGACTTTTGGGTACGTGGCTGCCTTCTAGTATCTAAAGAACAAAAAATACGTCAACGACCATTTTTTATGAAAGAGGAGTCAAGCATGGCGTTCACATAATGGTAGGTGACCTGGTGTACCCCAGCCATATAACATCGCAACAAGATGCACTGTCGATCCAATTTAACTTTGGATATTCGGAAATCCACAAACTGAAATCGAAACGCGACTAATTTCCACGGCTGGTTTATCTGTGGACGGTGTTTCGTGACGTGACGATATTCCCACTACTAAATGAATATCCAGATTTACAAAGTTCAACGAGAATGTGTTCTGTAATCTACAGGAATTGTATACATTGAAATACAATACATGAAACGGTTTAAAGCGTGAAATATATTTCTTTGTGTTAACATTTCACATTTTAAACTGTTAAAACTGGTTTATTTCAGTAGAGCTGGTTAGGTAAAACCTTATCAAGATAAGGTTTTACAACTCACACTAATAAACATTTCCTGCGTAGGAGAAGAGGGGAAAAGTCTAAATCTTTACTATCTAGACTTATATATTTATTATTATGCCAGAAACATTATAAATTGTGTTTTCGAAACATGGGAATCGAACCGACGACCCGTTGCTACCGTCGCTACCATTGCTACCATTGCTACCATTGCTACCATTGCTACCAGTGTAACTACCAACGAGACTGTTTTAAAATTCTTAGGTACTTATTTTTGAAATTCGCGTTTAGGTTTCACTCTGTTGTTTTGAATTGTTTAAAATATTTGAAAACTTGAATATTTTTTTCACATATAACAAATTTTAAAAATATACGCTTATAGCTACGACCAATTAGGCAGCACGGACCGCTGTCAACGCCAGCTCAAGTCCTGCTCATATCGTATTTTTTTATTTAAAATCGTTTTAATTGTCCGAAATACCTGAAAACCTTCCTTCCCAGCTCGGTACTTCAGTTTGACGAGCTGGCCACTTGGATCCTTGTACTGATAAGCACCAACTCTTGAACCATCAGGTTCTATCATCTCCCCTGCAGCCAGACCATTGTCGGATGCATATTCAAAACGGAAAGCGCCATCTGGAACCAAAGATTTCACTCAAATGTGCTTCTACTAATGTCCCACTATTGGGCAACGGTGTCCTATCTCGAATGAAAGCAGGTTAAAGGGCTTAGACCCACCAACCAGCACTGCCAATGCTGGTCTGTGGGTTTTAACCACTACTTAGTAGATTATCAATACTTTATAGTCTACGCATATACACATTTAAATAAAAACTTTAACGGTTTAAAACGCATATATTAGTTAAACTTATTTAAAAATGATTTTTAACTTCGGCGAGTTTCGGATGCTTTGCAGCAAGCTAAATAAGTTTAATAATATATCCCTTTTTCAACCGTTAAAGTGTTTTATTTAGACTGTATCCAAGTTATCTAGTGATAAGATTATATTATGTTACACTAATATTATAAACAAGAGTTGTTTTTGAACTAATTCAGAATACGGGAATGAAATTGATTTGTTTTGGTTGGCCAGTATCGAGGAAGGCTATAAAACATTAGGCTGCGACCAACAGCAGCGAAAAATAGAGGAAATGTACAGAAAAGGGGGGAAAATTATTTATCTTTATTGGTTTCTGTTTCTTGCTCGCTTGCCATTTTATGTTTTAAGATTAATTCAAAAGAATCCTATTTGTGAGAATCACATTTTTTCGAAAAAGAACGTTTGTAACTAACATTGAACGTTAGCTAGTAAATAATATATTGCGCATTTTTAACCGTTAGAAATGTTTTATACACTTTAGACATTTCAATCATTCAGTCATCCTTTTTAATGATTTTTGTATTTGCTTGTAATGGTTAGAATTTTTCGTGTTTTAATCCGTTTAGTGTGTTTTAGTCTTGTACTCAGGCTAATTGCAGACAATACTTTAGACTTGCCTTTATATTTCATATGGCATTTTAAATCGTGTGTAAAAATACCTGAGCTTAGAGATTGCTTGTGGTGCAGGATGGATGCCTGTTGCTCCTTACTCGTGCTGTACGGCATACGCCAGGGTTCAGCTTTAGCTGGAGGTGGACCTGCATAGCCTAAATTAAATAAAAAAGTTATTTAGGCCACGTTGACTTGAAACCGTCGTGCTTATTACTAAAACGCGGAAATTTTCTGTGTTTGGACCCATGTCCTAAACTGATTTTCGTTACAGGCAAGTCGAACTGGCTTTCGTCAGGATTGGAATCCCCGCCTAATTCAGTGCACTGCGTCTATCCTTTGAGCTATGAAAGCCGGCTACTACGCTAAATAAAAATGATTCATTTTAATGTATTTTTTTTAGCTTAAAATTATGTTTAATTTTATCTAATCTCGTAGTGTATTTTTATTATGCTTGTGTCCCGTTTCCCCAAGTGGGGCATGGGGCGAACAAATGTTTGTATCCGTTGGCACTGACACAGCCATGTTGGCACACAGGTTCCTTCGCGTGAAATGGAAATTTACTAATTCATTTTTACATAAAAATTATAAGGCCTTTGCAGGTATCAAAGCCAAAATAGGCCGACGGCATATCGTGTCAAGTGAACCCCATGGCTGTCCTCCTCTACCACAAAAATCTGCTAAGCTCCCCCGTGACCATGGCTGCAAAGCGAAACCTTCGGTCGTACTAAGCTATCGAATAGATTTCACATTTGAAACCGTTAATGTTTTTTATATCATAGCTGAGCAAGTACAGAAATGGTTCTAGAAGTTTCACCATCGAAGACTCACCTTTGTAGCTTCTTTCTGGATAATCATCATAAATGGGTCCTTCATTCGCTGGCTTCCAGGATTGAGAAACAGAACCAGCTGCGTCTGCGTCGCGTTCTGATGTGAACATTCCTCTGTAATATGGTCCAGCCTGTAAAGAAGAGGAGTAATCTTGGAATACAGTTATCTATCTTATAAGTCTTTAATTGGAGGTAGTTTGATTTTTTTAGCAGTGCAACAATAAAAACGTTCAAATGTTTTACGACGAAGGGGATTATGTTCAGATACCTTAACTCTACTGTATCTAAATAAGATTGGCTTTGAAAAGTAGGAGAAGACAAGTGGAAGTATTTCTTTTAAAATAACAATTTACCGTATTTGATAATAGGGAAGGACGGTCAAGTACGTGGTTCACTTAATGGAAGTTGGAATAGCCCAGCCAGATAACATCGAAATAAAATGTGCTATTGACCTATTTTGGCATAGCGTATTCAAAAACTCACAGACTGAAACCGAATCGCGATAAAACTACGTTTTTTCTATCTGTAGACGGGATTTGGATCACCACCATCATGTTTTAGAAACTCACAATTTGATTGGAAGCCTGTTAGACCCGAAAAACATTGAAACCACGTCCCGTTGTTTATTAGCCGTACATTGCTACCACCAACGATCCCAAGTAGAAGAAAGATATAGTTCTTGGTGAAAGAATAGATATATCTTCAGATATAGAAGATCATGATTCTTACTTCGTTTGCTTTCCTTAAAGAAGAGTCCCACGGCAGAAGAGTCGGTTGAAAAAGGCTGTTCACCTGTCATTTGTAATAAGCAATTAGCATCCTAGTAGCTCAGTGGTTTCTCTAGTAATGCGTTAAGCGAGGTCTTTGGTTCGAAACCAGCTGTTATAGCGAATTGGTGCTACCTAATTTATCCATCAAATTTGCCATTTATTTATGATGGCGTAGGATAGGCAAGCTTAGCGTTCTGTTGGGGTTGGGTGTTATATTACGTTTGAATTTATAATTTTTCTGACACATGTTGGATTTCCTGAAATCTGGATAGTAAATGAGTAATGGAATATCGAAAATTCCGTCCCGATCACGAACCGCCAGCCGACGTTCATTCCGTCAAGATTCGGTTCGGTTACAATCCGTGGATTTCCGAGGTTATCTGTCCTCTTCTTTCATAAGAATAAAATCGTTGTTACGAGGTATACCTAGAAATTGGGTGACCCCCGTGACCACGGCCGCTGCAAAGCATCCGAAAGGTCGTTAAAATAATTTTCAATAATTTCGCGTTTTAAACCGTCGAAGTGTTTTATTTAACTGTGTACTACTCGCGTAAACTACAGTGTTTAATTGGGAAACTTCGTGTGAATAATTAAAAGTTCACGCCTCAATTAATTCCGTATGTGCAACAAACATTACTTCATGTTCACTGTATTGTGGTTAATTAGTTGCAATAGAGACTGGAAACCCAACGTTAAATGGGACGGTTTAAAACGCGATTAAACTTATTTGAAAATGATTTTTAACTTCGACCCGACGTGTCTCCCCGTGACCACGGCTGCTGCAAAGCATCCGAATGGTAACGCGGTAGTTAAACGAACTTGTAAATAAGTTAAGTAATAATTTTTTGCGTTTTAAACCGTTAAAAGTGTTCGATTTAGTGTGCTCTATGCGCGTATGTATTTGCCAATGGTTAATATTCGTCCTCCAGTGCGCACGGTTACTGCATCCGAAACGTCGGGCTTTAGTTAAAATACATTGTAGTCAAGTTAACTAATATACTTCATGTTTTAAACTGTTTAAAGTGTTATGTAAATGTGTACTAATCGCGTATATTAAAGACAATACTTATATAACTAGTGTTCACTAGCTGAGTCACTCGACTTCGTACGCGTAAAATAATTATTTTGAATATCCATTTTAGGTTTTGCAAACCCCGTTTAACTAAAAAAATGAGCTGTTACACGACGTCGTCTGCGTCCCGTCGTTCTTGCAAGTTAATTTTAAAAGATAGACATGTGCTGACCTGGACTTTGATTAGATTATTTAAAGAGGAATAATTCTTTCAAACATTTTTTTTTTGGTATGTCGAACCGTTTTCGCAGCGTACGCAATGGAAACCCGGAAACGAGGATGAATCATTTTTCCGACATTTCCCGCTGTTCCTTTGTGCCTATTAGTCACAGCGCTGTTTTATAGCCTAAAGCCTTCCTCAATCAATGTTCTAACACAAAAATAACCTGTGACTTCGCACCAGTGGTTCCTGAGATGGGCGCGTTCAAACAAACAATCTCTTCAGCTTCATATATTAGTATAGATTACACAGAAATCAAACTTGAGACGATATCAAGAGCTGTTAACTAACCTGTCTGAATGTTTGTGGCGCATAATAGCCCTCTTGCGCCTGTATGGCGGTAACAACCATACACCAGAAACATATGAACTGAAAAAAAAAATAAAACAAAGTCATCTGTGTGTCCACGTGCTTTAAACTTAATTGTAGTAATGGTGACGGGTCGTGTATTCGATTACACGTAAGTCAATTTAAAACTACTCGTGCACTTCGTAAATATTGCAAGAGTTATCCATTTTTTGGGAAAAATAGTCTATTTATGTATTAATACAACTAGTCTTCAATACGTCATTTGACATTATATTTAATTATCGTAAATGTTAGTCGTGTTATTAATAAAGTCGCTCTATTTAAATTTATAAGCAAATCAATTATACATACCTAAATCGATATAAAAAAAAACTTCTACGCTCTTATTACAAAACAAGGACGAAGTCTCAAACCTGGTTTATTTGAAATCCTTAGATTCATTTAGAGTTTAGACCATGGTTAAGGAGTTACATCAAGGCTCCGCAGTTATGGTTTAAGTATTTTTTTGTAACAAGGCCGATAGTGTTTATAAAAATTAACATATTAATCGAGATGATTATTAATTACTAGCTGTGCCCGCGACTTCGTTCGCGTGGTATAGTCACTTAGGGTAGAATTTTTAATTATTTAGGCTGTTTATTAATTTATGTTATTGCGTATTTATCGCAGGCAATCTATGTTATAAGTGCTAATTTGCCAACACACTCACCTCACATCACTCCTACTATAACTCCCACTCCCACTCCAACTCCTATTCTCAAAAAGCCAAAGAAGAAAGTTTCAATGTTCTATCTTCAAAAAACACGAATTTCCATACAAACTTTCACCCCTCTATTTAACCCCTTACAACCCCCTTTTCGCAATAAAAAGTAGCCTATGTTCTTTCTTAGGGTCTAGACCATATGTGTACCAAATTTCATTCAAATCCGTTCAGTAGTTTTGGCGTGAAAGAGTAACAGACAGACAGAGTTACTTTCGCATTTATAATATTAGTAAGGATTATTTAATGTCGCTTTCGAAATACAGATTGTTAATTTTAAAACAATAAAGTTAGTATATTATTATAACACATTTCTTTACTGGCCACTGAGAACTTTGAGTTTACAAAATTAAAAAAAAAAACAACTCACCCTCATGATGACGTCACTAGCTCACGACGGTTGCACAGAGTATAAATAATTCACGAATATTTCCTTGTATTTATAGATTCTTTGCAGCAATTAGACCGAGGAGGAACCAGCCAGCAATCGTTCAGGGTTAGTCAATGTTCGACATTAATTTATTAAATGTCGTGGATGGATGGTTAAAGTAAACGTATGTGTTATCCTGGTAACATTCTTATTTTTCACATTTAAGTATAGTAATATATAAAGCCGAAGAGTTTGTTTGGCGCGCTAATCGCAGGAACTAGCGGTTCGAATTCAAAAATTATTTTTGTGTTGGTTAAAGCATTTATCGAGGAAGGCTATAGGCTATAAATACATTGTGTGGTGTGTAGATTTATTATATTTTTTATTTTAGAATAGATAAGTTGTACAGTACTTAATTTAGTGACAATAATTTGCTGAAAATCAGCGAACTGTGGCATATTATGCTCAGTGTTCAAAACTACGTGCATGTCGCGTGTACGAAAGCGACATGAAAATTGCACTTGAATAAAATACTCTGAACGGTTTAAAACGGGAATTTCACTATCTTATTAACTTTATAGGCCGTCATTAAAGACGGCCACTTGTTTTATATGTAGCCGTATTTTATAATAAAATTTGTACTAGTCGCGTAAACTACAGTGCAATAAAGAGACAGAATAATTTCATAGTATATAACAAAGTCGCTTTGTTCTCCCTGTGTACGCTTACATCTTTAAAACAACGCAACTGATATAAATGCGGTTTTTATTATATAAAGTGATTACATGCAACGGTTACCTACAGTTTATCTATAGTGTATTTAGTACCATTATTGCGCACGAGGAGAGCCGGGGCGGGTCGTTAGTACAATATATATAATTGAGCATAGTGAAATTCGATCTGACATTCAAAATAAAAATTGAAGACCCATTCTTGGGACAAACACACGTGTCTGTTTTACCGAGTAAGAGAGACTCCAAAATTCGAACTTAGGACACCTCGTGCTTATATTATCAGTTCTTTTACAATTGTAATGACAATGCTCATGTTTTGACACTTTGCATGTCTAACACACTACAATGACCTACTGTTTCCAATGAAAGACGATATAAATGCAAAAATATTTATTCCTTATTACAATGCTAAAACATAAATTCTCTCTCATAAAAATTTAAAATCTATTTTTGTTTAAAAAAAACGTCTCTAGCTCTACCAGCCGCCCGGGTCTTAATTTGTAACAAAACTGAATTAAATTTTAAATTTGAACGAGAGTTTCATTTACATATTTTCCATCTCTTAATGGTTTTACCTGTACGATAGAGACGAAACATACAAAACTAATCTCACGTGTACATTTGCATCCCTTTCACACCGCTCCAAATAATCACTTGTGAGAAAGAAACAAAACATAACAGAGTCATTATAATTCTATCTCGTTCATTCCTATAGGAAATAACGATGAGGGAAAGAGACAGAACACTTACGACAAATAGTCAGAGACCCATGGCGACATATCACTGCTATATTTTGTGGGGGGGATGTCGTATGGTATTATTAGGCGTTTTGGAGAATTCCCACTCAACGGGAATAGATCTTCGTTTATCTGAAAGAACAGGGGGGATTTAGTACTCTCTATAAGAGATCTTGTTTATGGAGAGATCGGGAGTTCGTGACTGTTTGTGCACGGACAGGATTACAACCGGCATTCACAGCGTTCCGTGCTATTGCTCTAACCAATTGAGCTACGGTGTCACGTCATCATCGAATTTCTTAAACATTATTAATACATGAAACTCTCGCGCAATGTATTTTCAACCTTAACACTTGCGTTCGTGCCATCATGTGCAATAATATGTGAAAAATAAAGTTTCGAAATGTCAACATTGCATATATATTTATATATAGCGCGATTTAACGAAGAGTTGAAAAAAATGAAGTGTAGGACACGGTACACTCAGTTGGTTAAAGCAGCACGGATCGCTGTGGATGCCGGTTCGAGTCCCTCCCATGTCGTGAATTTTTTTAATTTCGATAGATAACTAACTTATATATTTATAGTCGTCGACTTTGATATAGCCATAGGCTGTGTAAGACTTACTTACTAAAAATAGATAATTTAAAAACTTCGTACGTTTTAAATACTTTGAACGGTTTTAATGCGATACATTATTCCTTTATCTATGGCCCGACGTTTCCGATATTGTAATAACCTAATTCCGATAATGTGTTTTGAACCGTCAAAAGTGTCTTATTTAAATGACTACCGCTCAAGTAAACTTTAGACGCAAACTTTGTGTCTATGAAACTTAAATACTGTCTATAGTTTACGCGAGTAGTACACATTTGAATAAAACACTTTAACGGTTTAAAACGCCATATATTAGTTAAACTTATTTATAAATGATTTTTAACGTCGGCCCGACGTTTCGGATGCTTTGCAGCAGCCGTGGTCACGGGGAGACAGTCTCCCCGTTTCATACCGTTAAAGTGTTTTATTTAAATCTATGAAACTTACCACAAACTTAGGCAAGAAGAGAACACCACACTCATAGCTCATGATCCTTAGGGCCCCGTTGCCCTTGTTAATGGAGCCCCAGGCTGCTTTGCTCACATTCCCGGACGTGAGGAGGTAGTACGCCGCCATTTTGTTGTCGGGCGACGTACGGGTGTAGGACTTTATGTGCGGCATCGCTTTGTCCCGTTTCGTGGACGTCGCTCGCCATTGACTAAAAAATAAACATACTTAAGCTAATATTTTAGTTACATTGAAAAAAAGTATTAGGACTCGGGCGGGACTTGAACCGGCATCTACATCGATTTGTGCTGAACAATTGAGCTACCGTGACGCGATAGCTCAATGTGGTTAGAGCAGTTGTCTGTGTGATTTTTAGCATTTAAATACATTTTTAATTTCAATTATAATAACATGTAGCTTTTCAAGAATAGCACGTCTAATAAATTGTGTAAGGCTTTCACAGCCATCGTTCAGCGTATCATTGTCTTTCGGGCTGTTCGGCTGACGTGAGCGACGTGATGGCGAAACGTAGAACACCTCTTCTGGCTTACGTCGGCCGAACAGCCCGAAAGACAAAGATAGAAAGAAAAACGGACACAAATGTGTAACTGGATTCACTTTTATAAACCTAAACAGACTGTTAGCTTAGAAGCACTTACTTGAGATCCTAAAATTGTAGCTTAATTACATAACATCTCAACAAAACGCGCTGTCGACCTTTTTTGGTTTTAAATATTCCGAAATCTACATATTGAAACCGGTAGTGAGCAAATTCGCAAATTTTTTTCATTTAATATACAAAATAGTCTAACGTGTATCAGTAAACTTATAAATTGATTAGAAACATATTGGACAAGTTGGGCATCGAACCTGCGATGCGTTAATTGTAAGCAATTTATTGTTACTATTAGACTAACGACCTTTTTTAGCAGTTGAGCGCGTTCAAAGACAATTTAAAACCCTTCAAGATTTTAAAATAGGAACACACTTGCTGGGAGGGTAGTTTTATATACTCACTATAGGAACTGGTTGAGCCACGGTTGTTTCGCGTGCGCGCTCGCAGCGTACGGCAGGCATCCACCGCCCAATAGCCCATCGTGGGACTGTCTCACGTTTTCTGGTAAGCAAAGAGACATTAATTGAAAATCTATTTAGTCATGTCTGTAGTTTACGCGAGTAACGCACACTAACGTTAAAAACATACACTAAGCTGGTTTGAAAATCCGACGTTTACGACCGATTACGTATATATATATTACTTACTTTTTAAACCGTTAAGGTGTTTTAAATCTATTTAGGTTAAAAAAAATATGACAAGCGCGGGATTTGAACCGACATCCAGATCCATACTGTTGCTTTGCCAATTGAGCTACCGTGTCTCGCTCTCCATCATCGAATTTGGTCATGATAAAAAAAATAAAGTTTCAAAAGAGGTATAATACAAGCAGTTTACGCGAGCAATTCATACAAAAAATAACATTTTAACGGTTTAAAACGCGTAATAGTAAGTTATTTTTTACTAATACTAGCTGTGTCAGCGACTTCGTCTGCTTAGAATGGTAATTTCGGGCATCAGAATTTTGATTTTGCAAAAACTCCCAATCTTTATCAAGTTAAGCTGTTACCCACGACGTCGGTCGCGTCCCTTCCCGTCGTTCTTGCAAGTTAATCTTAAAAGATAGACATATAGTATCGTGGACTATTCTTTAGATAATTTAAAGGGGAATCATTCTTTCATACACATTTTTTCTTTGCTTCTATTAGTTACAGCGCGATGTGTTATAGCCAAGAACCTCCCTCGATAAATGCTCTAACCAACACAAAAATATTTTTTCAATTCGAACCAGAAGTTCCTGAGATTAGCGCGTTCAAACAAACACTTCAGCTTTACATATTAGTATAGATTGAGTTACCTAACGACGGATATATAAGCCTTAGAGGCGCGGGCGTGGACAACATCTGAGATTGGTCCTTAATCTTCGTGAAGTTGTGAAGAAAGTCGCCGGTCAACCATAACTAGAAAACAAACGGTATAAAACGAATTAATTACATTTCAGATGCTTTACAGCTATGGTGTGGAGGTCCCCGTAGCCACGGCGCCGCAAAGCATTAGAAACGTTGAGCTGAACTTAAAATAAATCTAATAAAGTAAAGTTATATTTCCCGTCTTAAACGGTTAAAAGTGTTTTATTTCAAAACAAAATATTTGTCTATTGTCTTTCTACTGTTTTGGGAATACAACTATGACAGACGGCAAAGTTTACTATTTACCTCTAATAGGACTCCATTTTTACCATTAGGAAGGGAAAACCAAAAAAAAAATATGCTAATTGGTTAAAAAAGTTAAGTGAAAAATTACCCAGGCGAGCGTCGAACACGCAATGGGTCTAACAAATCGACGACAACGGTACCGGGACACGGTAGCTCAGTCAATAGAACGAAAATCCGAACCTTTTGTCGTTGGTTCGAATCGCGCCTGTGTAATTTTTGTCTTTTCAAAAACTCACCTTCGGCTCCTTCCCAAAGCTGCCGATGCTGCTCGCCTGTGCCAGCAGCGGCCACCGGCTGGTCTCCGCTGGTGGTATACAGCAGTGCTGACGAAGTAACGAACCGACCCGAGTCAGACCCCAGTCCAGGTCGAAATGGGCCCCTGGGGCTGACGCGACAAGGAACACGCTGTATATACAAGACTAAATGATTTATTCATGTAGGTAGCTTCGCTTATGAACGTATAAAAATTTAAAACTCATTTAAATAAAACACTTTAACGGTTTAAAACGCCATATATTAGTAGTAGTGAAAATTATTTTTAACTTCGGCCCTAATATATCGCGTTTTAAACCGTTAAAGTGTTCTATTTAAACGTGTACTACTCGCGTAAACTACAGACCGTATTTAATTTAAAACTCTTTACAGTTACTACCAGTTCCCAAGTTAAGGGCGTAGAACAAACGAGAAGAATTGGCAAGAAACTCGCCGCCACCCCTTTTATTAAAGCCGTCGAATTTAATCACGGTTTCGATTTCAGTCTGTTGATTTCCGAATATCCAAATCCAAAATAGGCCGACAGGGCATCTTCGTTCGATGTTATATGGCTAGGTTATTTCACCTACCATCAAGGGAACCCAATGCTAATCTGTCCCCCTTTATCATTAACAATCTCTAGGTATATATTTTTTAATTTTACATTTCGGCAGGTCATCATAGTAGACAAACAAAATGAAACTGACTTTTAAATAAAACACTTTGACGGTTTAAAACGCGATATATATTAGTTAAACTTATTTGAAGATTATTTTACGGCCCGATGTTTACGTGTACAGCTCAAATACAAACTACGACGGAACAGGTGGCGCTAGCGTAGAATTTTCTACTTTGACATTAGAGACACCTTCCATCTTTAGTCACCCAGCTGCAAAACTGCGGGCTGTACTTAAAATAATTATTAAATAAGTTTAACTAATATATATCGCGTTTACAACCGTTAAAGTGTTCTATTTAAATGTGTACTACTCGTGTACACTACAGACTATTTAAAAACTCACTTGATATGCGAAAAATCGCATCGCTTAACCCTGTCCGTGTAAAAAGTGAGCTGCGGCAAGTGATAGTGGCTCAAATAACGCAACAGAGACTTCTTGAACATTGTAGGGGATTCCCCGTCGTGCGGCATCGCTTCTGCGGGTAGTTCTGGACACTTCGGGCTGAACCATAGACTAGAACATAGAATTAACTTTATTATATACTAGATGTGCCAGCGACTTTGTCCGCGTGGAATAGTGGCTTGGGGTAGAATTTTTAATTATTTATACTGTTTATTAATTTATGTAAGGGCGCATTTAAAGTGCTAATTTGCGAAACACTCTCACCTCACGTCACTCCTACTCCAACTCCCATTTTCATTCCTAGACTCACTCCCACGCCCACCCCTATTCCAAAAAAGCCAAAGAAGACAGTTTCAATCAACTTCTCCCCCCCCCCCTTTTTAAACCTTTACAACCCCCTTTTCGCAATAAAAACTAGTTAAATAGCCTATGTCCCTTTACAAGGTCTAGACGATCTGTGTACCAAATTTCATTTAAATCCATTCAGTAGTTTTGGCATGAAAGAGTAACAGACAGACAGACAGCGTTACTTTCGCATTGATAATATTAGTAGGGATGCAAAGCACAATAGAGGTATATAAATTAAAAATCTACAAGGTCGGGACTTGAAATAGGCCCGATTTTGACGGGTTTGTTCTTTGGTGTAATGGTAGCAAGATGTGGCTAATAATTAAAGGTCATAGGTTCGATCGTCACCGGGCCAACAAGCTTCCAATGAATATATAATTTTTACATTAGGCATTAACATTAACTATAAAGAAGTGGGTAGTTAAAGAAATGCCAATACTTAGTCCCGTCTGTTTTTTTATTTTAGTAACATAATTGATGCTTTTCTCGAAATGGCGTCAAAATATACCTACCCTTGTGTTCTGTTCTCCCAATCGTCCACATATAGGTTAGCTGTTGACACAACTACCCTCAAAGATCCATCTTCATAGCAGAGAATCATCATTTTTCTGAAAACATAAAAAAAATAACTCTCATTAAACAAATGAAATATTTTAAGGGTAAAAATAAGAGAAGCAACAAGGGTGGAAAGTATAATAAAGAAATGGTTATGAATGCATCCGAAGCAATAAATAAGTCAACTTATGTATTTCTTGTTTTAAACCGTTAAGTGTTAAAAAATTATAGTATGCAGAGATTTATTTCTTGACTATAACACTTACGTATGATGCTTGCCAAATGGCGTTGCCATGGTAACGAAGTGCGCTTCGACATTTGGCTTCTTCTTGTCTATATTCTTCAGATCTGGACTCTCATCTCCATAAAGGATGGTTAGCTTCTTAGCGCTGTAGATAAAGAGATAAATAATTAACCCTTTAATTAAACTAGAGTAAACCTTGCAGTTCACGTGAGTAGTACACATTAAAATAAAACAATTTAACGGTTTAAAACGCGACATATATTACTTTAACTTATTTGGAAATTATTTCAGATGCGTTGCAACAGCCGTCGTCAAGGGGAAACCCGTCTCCCACGCAAACATATATTTAACTATATAAATCGCGTTTTAAACCGTTAGTGTTATATTTATAAAGATGATTTTATAATCAATCTACCTGTAACCAGCGAAGTAATACTGCGCCAGAAGCCAACTCGCGTCCACCATGAAGTTTATTTGTAGCGAGCACTTTAGTTCACCCAAGCTTGGATCCAATAATTCTGCAAGCGAATCAAAAATTACATAGAAAGAATTTCACGACTCGGGCAGGATTTGAACCGACATCTTCAGCGTTCCGTGCTGTTGCTCTAACCATTGTCAACGTCGAACTTTTTCAACTTATTGATAAAAATTTTAACGGTTTTATGAAATTAAATTGGCAAAGTTTGAAGTGTACCATTTGCTAGATAAACTACAATAGGTCATTTAAATAAAACATTTTTACAGTTTAAAACGCGAAATATATAAGTTAACTTATTTACAATATATGTCAACTACGGTTTACAATATTTACAATGGAAATAATATATTTAGATCAAAACTTTTTTCCGACATGGGCAGGAGTAGGTTAGAGCAGCAGCACGGAACGCTATGGATGCCCGTTCAAGTCCTGTCCGTGTCGTAATTTTTTTCAATATGGAATCGTTTTTTTTTCTTTAAATAAAACACTTTAACGGCATTTTTAAATCAGTTTAACTAATATATCGCGTTTTAAACCGTTAAAGTGTTTTATTTAAATTAGTTATTAGAAAACAATATCTACATTACATATATAACTCACCCTGAAAAGTAATAGAATAAGGCTGCGCGTGAGTTTCCTTAGCGTCCGTTATCGTAGTGTAAAAGATATAGTAGGGGGCGCTGGCATCGTGTTTTTCCGCCATCTTGTTTTTGGGTGGAACCACCTTGAAATAGTCCGAATATTTGCGGGTAGGTGGCACAATAGGTCGGTAATCGGAATCTGCGGGATAGCCATGAAATATACATTGTGTATATGCATAAACTTTTAACAACAACCCGACGTTCTGGCTTCAAACTGTCTGGTGAAATTAATTGTTTTTATATCTGTTCCTATTTCCACAGTAAATACTAAATTCCACATCGCTTTTATTTACCTCTAACTTTTCTTTCTTGACATGTTCCTCGGCTGATCTCATCGTTTATTCTAATATTATCCTTAAGCTTACTTTCCACCTTCGGTACTTCTTCAGGTTTAGTTTTATTTGTATGTGCATTTTGAGTTTGATTTTCTATAATCTTTGGGGCGGACGACTTTGGGTCTCTGCAATACATAAAGTTTGAAAACATTAATATTGTTTACATGTTAATTGCACATGCAAAAAAAAGAGCAACAGCACGGCACGCTGACGATGCCGGTTCAAGTCCTGCCCGAGTTGAAATTTTTTTTAAATTTATTTTCGTGTTTTAAATTATATATAAAGTTGTTTAAATAATTAATAAATATTTCAAGAATTGTTAGTTAAGGTAAAATTAAATACTGTCCGTAGTTTACGCGAGTGGTACACATTTAAATAAAACACTTTGTCGGTTTAAAACGCGATATAATAGTTTAACTTATTTCACAACAGTCTCCCAGTGACCACAGCTGCTGTAAAGCATCCAAAACGTCGGGGAGTAGTTATAATAATTTTCAAATAAGTTTTACTAATATATATCGAGTCTTAAACCGTTAAAGTGATTTATATACAACATATAATTAGAAATAAATATATTTAATGAAATTGATATTCTAATTCTTAGACCTGAATACATTGATTTGGATAATTTCGTAACTGGCTTGTCGATCTAATGGTATTTTTTTTTTCTTTCCGGGGAACCTTTGGTGAGGGGGGGGATCTGAACACAGTTTTGTAGCAGCCATTTCACCCATTTCCCCATATCTAATGGTAGCAAAATATCTATGACAATGGGTGTGGATCGATCCCTACAGGGTCTAACCTGTGTAAATCTTCAATTTATACTTCTATCAAACATGTGACTATCGCTGGAAATCTGGATATTAGGTGGATGGTAGGTTTGTATTTTTAATTTATGTAACACTATTCAATACTGGCTATTGCCGTTTTATTTGTTTATAATAAATAAATAAGTATGTAGAATAAATGGAAATATTGTCCGGGTTATGAACCACTATCTACAGATAAGACGTTAAGACTAATCACTTTATAGTTTCAGTCTGTGGATTTCAAAATATCCAGGGCCATAATAGGTTGGCAACACATCTTGTTTAGATGCTCTAGACTGGGAAGCACCTACCCTCAACCGTGACCCCATGATTGGCTGTCCTCTACCATAAAAAATTTTTATCTAGATGCATGTATTTTGAAATAAGTGTAACTAAGACAATATTTTTATACACACTCTGTTTCTTTCTTCTCCTCCTTTCCTTTAGCGATGTACAAGTTTTTCTCAACAATAACATTTAGCTGATCTATTATTTGAGATCTTTGCATGGAATACTTCTGCGGAATGTCATAATCTCCCGTCCCCGAAAAGTTATCTAGTATTTCTTCTACTGAAAAATACAAAATTTGAAATTGTCAACAATATAAATAAAGTGGAATAGCAACATGAAGACTTCTTGGGTTGATTTCAGATTTGAAAGACTTAACAAAACTTCTGACGCACCGCAAGTTTGGAACTATGTATTAGTTTTTCAACCTAGGGCCTCTGCGTTTATGGCTATGCCAATTTGAGCCACATAAAGTGAAATAATAGTTATAAAAAACAGATTTTACTTATTGTAAATGTGTGTTAATTAACAATGAAGCGTCTTTTTGATTAATATTTAATCAAATCAGATAGTGAGTCCAAATATCTTTAAATGGGAATTGAGTAATGTTTCTTATTTTATTTAAAATTCATTTAATATTGCAGACTCATATTTGTGTCTAATGAACTGAATAAACAGTATACTGTGCTCTGACAAACTAAAACTATCATTTGCTAAGATATTTTACAGTTACTTTAAAATCCCCTTAGCAATGTTTGTTTACAGTTTTTTTTACACTGGACAATTATAACTTTACTCACAATGAGGATGACTGAATTCCCGAAAATGTGCTGGGTTTAATCTGTAACACTTTTCACCATAACTGCATTCCTTTTTTATCCGTTTTGCATTTTGGCTATCTGCAAGAGTACAACAGATGGCAACTATGTGCAACAACAACTGAGTACAAAAAAAACAGAGTTTAAATTGCACTTAAAGAATTTCTGAGAAAATATGAGTGTTCATAATTAAGGCCGCTAGAGGCAGAGTAGCCTAATTGCAATTTTTATGATTTGAGTTAATTATATTTTTATAGTCTAAAAATTATACAAGAGTAGTGACCGAAAATTGTTGACATAATTTTTACACAAATGGTAAAATTCATTTTCGCCTAAGTGAATTGCGCATTTCTATTTTCCTCCTTATTGAAAACCATCTTTGTTATTAGGCCACTCTGTCTCTAGCAACCTCAATTATTCTAAACTAGCGATCCTTAATACTGCTTTACATCTAAAATACACTCTAACGTACCATTCACGTTAATCATTCGTTTGTTAGACGTGTTCATTGTTAAGATAAACTAAACATGTAAAACTGTATAAAACTATTAAAAACTATTGAGAAACAAGACCATAATTGAACCAAATTATTTAAAAACACACTTATTGCAAAAAACAAGATCTTAAGATTTTAAAATTCAAATTTGTTTTTGAAAATTGACAATTGACACAAAGGTACTGTGACATTGATGGACATTTGATTATTGCACCACAGAATATAAGATGTCTGTTTTTTACTTACCACAGATTTCTTTAATGATAGCGGAGGTGCTAATCATGGGGTTCACTTGATGATGCACTGTTGACCTATTTTGGCTTTAAATAATCGAAAATCCACGTACTGCAACCGAAACGCATTAATTCACGGTTCAACTGTGGACGGTGGTTATAAAGACACAATGATTCAATTATTCTAGTAATTTGTGAACTACCCGCGCGATGGGTTGTAATAATTATTGCATATACATATATGAAGTATTAATAAGTATTACATAATCTGAGTGAGAAATAAATGTCTTTATACAATGGGGTTTTGAATGCTCAAACGAATCCATAAATGACAACAATACAAAACAGAAGTACCTGGTTTGAGCAACTTTGTTAAACAATTCTAGCATTAAGTTTAAATTATCATTATCTATGGCAAATGCGACAGCACGATGTTCCTAACAATAATAATTGTGTTTGTCGACAAAAACTTTTTGAAATAAGTTTTTTAATAAAACAAAGTATATATTACAATTTTAATAACAATAAATAAACATTTCTCTTATATTTTACTATACAGCTATGTATCCTTGCCACTAGTTGTTGCACTCCGTAGGGACTTTTCTAGGTTCTTCAAAGCAGGCGTTACATTGGTTCCTAGATCTTCCACCACACTCGACAAGTACACTGTAAAAGTACGCAATGGTAAGTGTATAATTTTAACTTTGATGGATATTCGACCTTGATGGTCCATGGTCGAATATCTCAAGCATACATCTAATATATAGTATCTAATATATACACACGGCTCAAATTTCTTTTTTTGTTATATTGTTTATTATTAAATACTGTCTATAGTTTACGCGTGTAGTACAAATTTAAATGTAACACTTTAATGGTTTAAAACGCGATATATTAGTTAAACTTATTTGAAAATGATTTTTAACTTCGGCCCGACGTTTCGGATGCTTTGCAGCAGCCCTGGGAGACTGTTATTAATACTTCATAAATAATGTAACCAAAAAAAAAATTTGAGCCGTGTGTATATTTTCTAAGCTAAGATACATCGCACACTATAAAAGCGTGGCGTATAAGCTTAGCTCCTCAACCTACTCTCCTGACTCTATCATCCCAGCAGTGGGACATTTATAGGTAGTGGTCATTTCTGTTAGCCTTACCAATATCTGTCAGACACCTCTTCGTACCCAGTGGGTCCATGTTGCGGATATTAAGTATTTTCTCTGCGTACATTTCACATGTATATGTGCAAACCTGCAAAAAACAATTTAAATAAAACACTTTTAACGGTTTAAAACGCCTGATATATAGAAAGTTAAGTTTTTTTACAGCACCCGTAGTCACATGGGGAGCGAAAGCTGCGGCAAAGCATCCGAAACGTCAGGCCGTAGTTTATAATAAGTTAACTCGTCGTTCGCAATGCTTTTCAGCGATCATAACATGAGTGACTTCGCTTACATCCATAAAGAAATTTTAATTTGTGCATTTACATAAATTCATTTTTAGGATTTCTATTAATTTTAGCATACAATAGTGGTCTTCATTAAGTGAATTTTGAGGTAATTTAATTTGTTTTTCGAAAAAGGCCAAGTTAGAAAAAAATATCACAAATCATGATCATTATTAAAAACTAAACGTCAAAGTCCCAAAACACAAGTCATGCGGTAATGACAGATGTCATTGTCAAACAACTGTCACCCAACCATGCTACAGCGTATCTGTTGCAGTAGATAACATTAGAAGATACCTCTGATAGAAACTGCCATGGAGCCTGTTTTTCAGACAGATACATCTCTAGATGTTGTGGTAATGTCATCAAGTATTGACCGATCTGAAATATAAAATATAACATTTATTAAGGGAGATTAAAGATGGAACATGTCCCTAATGTCAATGTCAAAATCTGCTACTTGCCATCTCTTCCCTCGTAGTTAGCAGAAGGCAGTTGATAGATCGCAAATTCTGACTTTGAAATAAGGGACGCGCTCCATCTATACCGTGGCCACGACTGCTGCAAAGCATCCGACCGACGGGCCATAGTTAAAGTAAATTGTAAACAAGCTAGCTTGTACCACCCTTGGCACAAATTGGAGAGGTGGGTTTTCCAATACTCAACTTGGAGAGGTGGGTTTTAAAGAACTAACCTCAGTTATGTACTCTTGAGGTGACAGCGCGAAATCCGGCAAATCAGTAGACAACGCGTCGTTGTTATACCAGACGGACAGTTGGGGTATTTTATCTGTAAAAAAATATGTAAAAATACTGTCTATAGTTTACGCAAATAGTATACATTTAAATAAAACACTTTAACGGTTTTAAACGAGATATATTAGTTAAACTTATATAAGAATAGAAAATAAATTGAAAAAATGTTTCGACTCGGGCAGGACTTGAACCGGCATCGTCAGCGTTCCGTGCTGTTGCTCTACCAATTGAGATACACCTCATCGTCGAATTTTTTTCAACTTATTGATACATGCAGCTATAGTGCCATCATGTGCACACGTAAACATAATAAAGTTGTTTAAACTTATATTCGTTTTAACTAATATAAGTCGCGTCTTAAACCGTTAAAGTGTTTTATTTAAAAAATATATAATCTATACTAATAAAAGTTGAAGAGTTTGTTTGTTTGAACATGCCAATCTCAGGAACTACAGGTTCGAATTTTTTAACTACTACAGATAGATATGGATAGACAATATATATAGAACAAAAAATAATTTTCAATTCGAACCAGTACTTCCTGAGATTAGCGCTTTAAAACAGACAAACGAACTCTTCAAACTACCAGCCAGCGCAATAAAAACAACTTATAAGTACCTATTGAGTTGCTTTAACTCAATTGGTAGAGCAACAGCACAGACCGCTTAGTCGTGGGTTCAAGACTCGCCTGTGTCAACAAAATAAAGAAAAAGTTCGGTATATTGATTGAGACCTCACCCAACTGAACATCAACCGGATTTCTAAGTATTGTTCTAGCTAGAGTTTTAAGTTGATCCCTCGCCCTCCGGAGCCCCGCTAGCGAGGGCGAAGGCCTATTGTCGCGGGATTCTTGCTCCAGTAGCAGTTTAAGGTCGAAGAGTGGATGCTGATTTGTGGTTTCCTCTGAAAATGATTAAACGAAAGGCAATATTAACGGTTTAAAACGAGTAATACATGAGTCAGAAACTGTTTGTAGTTTTCTACATATTTAAATGAAACACTAAAGTTTTCAAACAATAATCTTTAGTTTACACGAGTATTACATTTAAATAAAACCACTTTAACGGTTTAAAACGCATTAGTTATCCGAGTCGTACACATACAAATGGAACACTTTCAGTAATTTAAAACATATAATAAATAATCGAAGTAGTATATATATACTACTTCGATTACGGTTTACACGAGTAATACAATTAAATAGAGAATATTAACGGTTTAAAACGCGAAATTTTAATTAATTACTCTAGTTTAAATCACATCGTGACAGCGATTGCTGCAAAGAATCCAAAACGTCAGATCGTAGTTAACATTTTATTTATTCGCTTTTAAAACCGTTAAAGTGGTTTTATTTAACTGACCTGGCACCGTCTGCCTGCTGACCAGAACGTCAATCAGCGTGCCGGTCGCAGTCTCCAGTATCAGCGACGCTGGGAACGTCGCGCTGAGAACGCCCTCGTGCTGTCCTTTCGACGCTGACGATAGGAATGTGGCTTCGATGTGTCGTGTGTGACCCGTTATCAAATTCAATATCGCCGTTATGAATGTCTGAAATTTTATTAGATGAGATATGTTTTTAAACGGCTGAACATTAAATACCCACTGTCTATAGTTTACGCGAGTAGTACACATTTAAATAACACACTTTAACGGTTTAAAACGCGATATATTGGTTATGGTTATATGGTCTTTATTTTCAGTCCCCCGTGACCACGGCTGCCGCCGTCGTGGCCGAAGTTAAAAATCAATTTCAAATAAGTTTAACGAATACATCGCGTTTTAAACCGTTAAAGTGTTTTATTTAAACGACTGAACATTTTTAAATAAAAAATTGATTATAAATCGATAAAATTTACGACACAGGCAGGACTCGAACCGGCTTCTACAGCGTTCCGTGCTGTTGCTATAACCGATCGACCTACTGCGTCGGTAGAGCAATATAGCACAGCAGTAGATGCCGGTTCGAGTCCTGTCTGTGTCGTATTTTTTTATATGAGTACAAAAAAAAACGAATATATTAAAGTATGCAAAACAGACATTGATTTGTATCCAATAACACAGAGTAAATGAGCTTTTAAGCTATTACAAATACCTCCAAAGCAGTCATATAGTAGGAATGTACAGCATCTCCAGCTATCTTCTTCCCTCTAGAATAAGCTGTATCCAGCCAGCCCTCGCATCGTTCAGCGATCGTCTGTATCGCTCTAGAATGTTCTAGAAGGTTCTTCTGCAAAACAATAATTTACTTCAAACTATTATATCGTACTAGCTGCGCCAGCGACTTCGTCCGCGTAGAATAGTTATTTTGGGGATCCAAATTCGTTTTTGCAAACCCATCTTTATAAACTTAAACTGTTACCCACGACGTCGGTCGCGTTCCTTCCCGTCGTTCTTGCAAGTAAATCCTAAAACTTGAACCGTTTTTGCTGCGTACGCGCCGGTAATCCATAATGATTAATAGTTTTCCCATTTTTTTCCCATTACCCGCTGTGTCTTCGCTCGTATTAGTGACAGCTATATTTTATTGCCTATAGCCTTCCTCGACAAATGTTCAAGCCAAGACAAAAAGAAGTTTTCAATTCGAACACGCCGTTCCTGAGATTTCAATAGTCCGTAGTTAAAATAAACTAAAACTTGTACCCTTTTTTCGGTACCCCTTAGAGATGAATATTTCCCCCCCTTTTTTCCACATCTCCCACTGTTTTATCGCTACTATTTGTAGCCTAAAGCCTTCCTCGATAAATGCTCTAACCAACACAAAAACATGTTTTTTATTCGAACTAAAGTAGTTCCTGATATTAGCGCGTACAAATAAACTCTTCAGCTTTATATATACTATTCGAGTTTTTACTTAAAATTCGAAAAACTTTATGATGACGTCAGATAATATTTTTGTCATCTCTTGTGTTCTTTCTTACCTGCTCCAATTGCGGGTCTTCCAAATAGGCAAGAAACAGTTGCGTCTGCAGCTCTGTGTAATTGGGCATCATTTCCCTCAAAGGAGCATATACGATCTTGCCTAGCGCCTTCAAAGTCGACTTTGACAATTTCTCTGAAAATATAATTGTATTATAGCAACTTACGCGGGGTGGACATATGTTTGTGTCAGTTTAACTTCTCCTAGATGTATGACACTATACAATCTAGTCCTGTCCATCTAATAAATGAAAGTTTGCACGATATTTTAAATAAAACACTTAACGGTTTAAAACGTGATATATGTGAGGCAAACTTATTTAAAAATTATTTTAACTCGCGTCAGATGCATTGCAGCAGCCGTGGTCACGGGGAGACATATCATATAAGTAACACTTTGGTTTAAAACGTGCTATATGTGAGGCAAACTTATTTAAAAATTATTTTAACCACGTGTCAGATGCATTGCAGCAGCCGCGGTGACGGGGAGAAATTTCAAAAAAAATAATTAAGGAAAACGCGATATATATTAGTCGAAACCTATTTAAAAATGATTTTACCAACGGCCCGACGTTTCGGATGCTTTGCAGTAGCCTTGGTCCCACACTCCCCGTCTCCCCGTGAGCTTAACTCTTATAAAACTATCGCGTTTTAAACCGTTAAAGTGTTTTACTTGGATCAAAATTAGTCTTAGGCTAGTGTAAGACTAATTTTGATTTTTTTTATGTGGAGGACAGAAAAGCACGAGGACAAACAAGCATAAAGCATCTAAAAAAGTTGAGTTGTCGACCTAATTTCGCTTTGGATATTCGGAAATCGACAGACTGAAAACGAAACGCGACTAATCTTCACGGATTTTTTATCTGTGGACGATGGTTCGTGACTACGAAATTTCGATATCAATAATAACTCCTTATTGCACAAACATAGACATAAGAACATAGATACTTAGAATTATATTATGTACAAAGTAAAACTTTTCGCGCAAAGGCGGCCCTATGGCCTATGGCGATTTCTTCCAGGCAACCTTTGATATTCCTAGTTCCTACCCATTTAATATCCAGATTTCCAGACGAAGTGTAACATGTTTCAGGCAAATTATAAATTGAAATAAATACCTTTATTCCCGTAGCCGTCTATCACACGCATAATACAATCGATAAATTCGTCGACATCCGATTTCAAATCGATCAACATACTGATGCTCTCCTCCAGCGATTGACACAGCTTGAAGTTGGCTGAAACGATCTGAAACAATATAGTGGAGGTTTAGAAACACTTTTGACGGTTTAAAACGCGAAATATACTATTAATTTTCTTTTTCTTTCTACAGAACATTTATTTTTTGTCGATTTGAAACACGGACTATTATAGATATTTATTTTAACTACGTTCCTAGTAACTATAATATTATATTTCGCATTTTGAACCGTTAAAAGTGTTTTATTTAAATATGTATTACTCGCGTAAGCTACAGGCAATACTTAGTTAACTTAATTTTTGTTGTGACTACAGCCCTACGTTTCTAGTAATTAATATGGCGCGTTTTAAATCGTCAAATTTTTATTTAAAATGTGTACTTATAGCGTAAACTGCTGACAAAACTTAATAAGCTTATTGTTCAATGATTTTAACTACCGCAGCGCGTTTCTAGTAACTAATATATATCGCGTTTTATACCGTCAAAAGTGTTTAATTTATATGTATACTACTCGCGTTAACACACAATACTTGAAAATATCGTTTAATCGCGTTTTCGTGTGAGTCTGTGGATTTCCCAATATCAAAGGCCAAATAGGACGATAGCGCATCTTGTACAGGTATTATAAGACTCGAGTATTTCACCTACCATCATGCTTGTCTGCTTATCATGAAAAGAGCAATTTTTGCTTACCCAAATTTAAACCTTACCAGTTACCCCCCTAACGTTATAAAACTAGATAAACAACAAGGCTGTGATAAAAAAAACAATAATCATTAGCACCATACCTTAGTGGGTGACGGGTCGAGTGAGAGCAACAGGTCTGTGTAGAGTCGTATCAATTCCGCTATAGGCGTTTCCGACTTCAGAACGGTCGTCAACCATTCAACCTGTTAGATGTCAAGCAAGGTTTATTCTCTTCTTTAGCTAAGTAGTAGATCTATACTTATGGGTGACGGGCGGGTGAAGGGAGGGGGTGTAAAGGGCGGAGAGGGTAGAGGGGGAAAGGGCGGAGAGGGTAGAGGGGGGGGTGTAGAGGGTGGAGGGGAGGAGGGGGTGGAGAGGGGCAGAAGGTAGAGATGCGTAGAAGGGGCAGAGGGGCTTTAGACGGGTAAGAAGGGGAGTGGAGGGGTATAGAAGTGTAGAGGGTGAAGGGGAGAGGGAGGGAGGGCGTGAAGGAGGTGGAGGAAATAGTATATACTTGTTGCAGTAAAACATTTGATCTTATTTATTCAGAACTTTGGAAGTATTTAAAATCGAGTTGTAATAAATGGCTTGTTTTAAATGGCCACGCCGTAGACGTCTGACAGCTGACAGCGCGTGACGACACACGTTGTCATGTTTGCAGTTCGCGGGAAAAATGTGCACTATGATTACCCACGAATGACGTCACTCATGTAACTGTTGTTTAAGGTGGAATTAATCGTAACTAGCTTTAAAACAACCTATATTTCATGAAGAATCATTTACTAATATATATGTTTTGGTTCCTTGAACCGTTTCCGCGGGTCGCGCAAACAAAGTTAGTTATTTCACTGTTTCTCCGCTCCTATTGGTCGCATCCTGACGTTTTATAGCCCAAAGCCTTCCTTATTAAATGCTGTAACAATTTGAAAGCCTTAATCTCAGAACACTGGTTCTTGTAGTCAATTGGAACCAGTAGTTCCTGAGATTAAGGCGTACGAACAAACAGTTTAGCTTTATATATTAGTACTACACCCTATCCGCAAACTTTTTTCCATATAAATAATTTCGACCGGAGAGGAAAAATGATTAAATTACTAAAATGGCTATTAAAAATAAGGGTTGATCGTAGAAGGGTGAAGATTTAGGATTGTATGTATTTTTGTATGTTGTATCATGAAAAAACAGAAATTAAAAATTTGTCTAAAAAATAAAATAAAAAAATTGGGGGTGGACTACCTCTAACATTTAGGGGGATGAAAAATAGATGTAGGCTGATTCTGATAAATACCGGATCAGCACAAAAAAATCATCAAAATCGGTCAAGCCGTTTGGAAGGAGTATGGCAACAAAACTGTGACACGAGAATTTTATATATTAGATAGATTACTGAAATGCTCCCGTTCTTCACCTGTCGATTAGCATCCGAAGTGAGTTGCCTCGTCAGCGCCGACACCGTGTGGGAGTCGAGCCGCCGCCAGCTCGCCACTTGCCTTGCTGCTGCTGCACGTCTCCAGCACCTGTGCGCTGACACCGAGCGGTTCATGCCTCGAAATATGGAGACGTAGGCGCTCGTGCGATCTGTTGGAAACAACAAATGTGATTAGCAGATCCCCGCTGTAACTAACTTGGAGCGTAATACGTCCGGGTTTGGAATCCTTTGTAAACATTTAAATAAAACACTTTAACGGTTTAAAACGCGAAATATGACCACGGCTGCTGCAAAGCATCCGAAACGTCGGGGCAAAGTTAAAAAAAATTATTAAATTTTCAAATAAGTTTAACTAATATATCGCGTTTTAAACCGTTAAAAAGTTTTATTTAAAAGCTGTGAGTTCTAGTCAATAAACAGTTGTTCTTTGAATTCCGCGTCTAATGGATGTTCCACTTACCAGCGTCCATCTGGGTCAATGCTTCGATGAAGGATGGACTTATCGCGGCCTCTAGTCTATTATACAATAATTCTAACTGGGTATGCTTCTTTTCATAGTCCGGGGCATCGCTTAAGACCTGGAAAAATATGGTATTATATGATTTAAAACTATACTTTAAATTAAAGCGTTAAGGTTGAAATTACATTGCGCGAGGTCATTATCAGGTGAAAAATTCGACGAGGTGTAGGACTCGATAGCTCATTTGGGCACGGGAGGCTGTGGGTGCCAGTTTGAATTGCGCCGGTATCATCGTTTTTTTTTTAAATTTATGTACAAATTGTGTTATCAAAGTTGAATACATGTGTGGTTTAATAATAAACAAACATTGTAGTTAACGCAATGCGTCAAGGCTTCGAACCCAAGACCATCGGAGTACCTACTTGGGTTCGACGGATTTGGTTTTTTTTTGATATTCGAAAATCCACAGACTGAAACCGAAACGCCATTTGACTTCACGGCTTTTTCGTGAACAGAATGGAATTTCGATAATCCTGCCACCCATGTTTCAGAAAATTGTAAATTGAAAAATTACAAACATCTCTTGGACCCGGAGGGGAACGATACCACGACCAGTTGATTGTTAGCCATACATTGTTAACATTACACCATCGTTCCCGTCAACTGTCGTTTTAGTAATAAGTAAGAAAAACAGTGGGCCAACAAAATTTTTTTTTTATTATTTTCAGTTGATTGGCACCGCTGTCCACGCTCTAAGGACTAACTGAAATTCAGTCAGGTCAACAAAGGACCTGACTGACAACTAGCAGCACACAACATTATTTTACACTCATATAAGTTATACTGTTGAGTTTAAATTATGTTTTATGTGCACCATTAGTAAATGTGCTATATAAATAAATTTATTTTTCTCCAATGAGCCCGTCAAAAGTAAATAAATCAGTGTTTTAATGACATCTGACTTTGACACTATTTACCTCCAAACTCTCTGTCATTGCAACAACCAAGTCAGCCAGCTCTGTCAACTTGTCAATTTGCGTTGGAATACCATTTTCCAAGATGTCTTCCAGTGATGTAGCTAGTGCTGCCCATTTGTCGGCCTCGCGAAGCGCCGACGCTGCATTCTGAAAAACAATATATTTGAAAATAAAAAATCGATCGGCATCGTAAGCGTTCCGTGCTGTTGCTTTAACCAAACGAACTACCGAGGCCAGAAAAAAGCTACAGAGTCTTAATTAGGACAGTACATATATGTAATACTATGGTAAGAAATAAATGAGATGGCGCTAGCGTAGCAGATTTCACTATGACAACCTCCATCTTTTGTCAACCTGTAACTACAACTAACCAAAGTCAAAAATCATTTATTCAAGTAGGTACGGTATGTACACTTATGAACGTCACAAAAGTACAGAATCTAACTTGACATTTACTACCAGTTCTCAAATCAAGGCGTAGAACGAACGAGATGAACTGGCAATAAACTCACTGTCACTTCTTTAACAACCGTTACAATTGTGCTAACAGTAATACTTGAACAGCCCAAATATAAAGACTAATCTTATATATAAAATTCTCGTGTCACGGTGTTCGAACTTGAACTCCTCCGAAACGGCTTGGCCGATTTTGATAAAATCTTTTGTGCTTATCCGGTATCTATGAGAATCGGCCAACATCTATTTTTCATCCCCCTTAATGTTAGGGGTAGTCCACCCCTAAATTTATTTATTTATTTTTTAGACAAAATTTTTTATTTCTATTTTTTTATGATACAACATACAAAAATACATACAATGCTCAATTTTCACCCTTCTACGATCAACCCTTATTTTTTAATAGCTATTTTAGTAATTTAATCATTTTTCCTCTCCGCAAAACAATGTTTGCCAGGTCAGCTAGTATATTATATAAAACTCTTGTATCAGTTTAAAATGCGAAAATTAAACAGAGGACCATGGCTGCTGTGAAGCATCTAAAAATAGGGGCCATAGTATTTACGGGCCCATAAAAATAAATGAGTTGGGAAGCAAAATATAAAAAGCTTCTCATAATTTTAATCCAATATATAAATTGCCAGTTAATAGCCTTAATTAGTCTATAAAAGCACTATAAGCTTTTAAAGGGTCTTTCAAAGGCAGCCTATAAATTAATATTGGTTGATTATTTATTAACAGGAATTGTATTATCATCTTAATAAGAGATATTCATATAAATAAAACACTTTAACGGTTTAAAACGCGATTTATATAAGTTAAACTTATTTGGAAATTATTTTAACTACCGCCCAACGTTTAGGATCCTTTGCAGCAGTCCATACCTAAATTTGTACTACTCGCCTAAACTACAGACAGTATTTAAGAGATATTTATTATTAACTATCTCGTACCAGAAAATAATAAGATAGATTTGGTAAAATACGAACAACCAAGAATACTATTAGTTTCTCTAGGACTATCTTACAAAGACTTACCTCAAGCTTGCTCTTAAGTAAGTCTATTTTTTGAAGACTCTCAATGGAGTGTCCCGTCTGTTCCTCTACACTCTCCACTTGCTGTTCAAGGCTCATCAACTTCTGCTGCAATAATGCACCTTCCAGCTGCAGCGAGGACACATCTTGGATCACTCGAGGCACTGTAGTTAATATCTGTAAGTTTTCAAGATAGGACATGCATGCTGTCATATAGTAACTGTGGCATTGCTGCTAACGTTTTAACAGTTACTAAAATTAAAGCCTCTGTAGATAAATGGTTTATTAACCTAGCATTGCATTAAATGTGGGTGGTCCCAGTGTTCAGACTTCTGTGCCCTGCCCGACAGAAACAATCTATTGTTGTATGTGTATATAACTACTTGCCTATAAATAAAACCAATTAGTAAAACAGAGATATAATTGTTTTTGTCCTATTGCCTCACGGGAAAAAGAGATTTTACTTTAAAAAATATAATATATCTGAAAATGGGGGTGGAAGTAAGTTTTGGAACTTTCTCCATAATTATCTTGCTACTTCTTGAAATCACTGACATAGTAACCTCCACAGTTAAAAATATGCTTTTTATATATGTTAGCTAGTATAGAATTTTTACGTACTTGTGTTGTTGTTTCATCTAGCGAGTTACTCAGTTGTTTCATGTACAATTGTAGTCTGGTTACAGTATTTGCAACGAAAACCTGAAATTAAGACAAATCTATCAAAAGACCCAGTAAAGATTTATAATGAAAAATAAATAGCTAAAGGTAAACCTTACCTCCTTTTCTTGATTCCCACTCAAGCTCCACGCTTTGTTTATCCATTCTTTGGGATCAAATTCACTTTCAGAGAAAGTTTTTAAATCCTATAATAAATTTTACAGAGGTTAGGGGATATTGGAAATTGTACCTTGTATGAGGAATATAATATAAATAAACGTTACCATTATTAGATTAAGTATATAACTTAAGTGAAATTAAATGGGTATAGCATTTAAAAACCTTACTTAGGGAAAATTACAATGTAAACATTTATATTGTAAATAACACAAATTTACAATTATTGTCATATGTCATGACAGTTTATTGTCAATTGTCAACATCAAAAATGCCGCTTTTTTAAAATTTAATTCCCCAAATATGAGAGCAGTTTATTTTAAGCCTCTTGGAAAATTGGGACAAATTATTATATTTTTCATAATTTGTCACTGAAATATTTTTTTCTCTGTTTCCTTTTGTCTACAGTCACACACATTTAAATGTCAGCTTGACTTTGACGTCTAGGATTGTCACAACAGCAGTCTGCAATTAAAAATAATTATTGTTATTGTTACCGAAAAATGCTATGATAATTGTAAAATATAAAGTTATATTAAATGACTGTAATAACTACTACTAAATAAGTATAATTTTATATTTTTTTACGCATAGTCATTGTTTATTTAAGGTTTCCTAAGAAAAATTATCTAAGATCATCATTTAAAAGTTGTTGCCAATATTTGAAGACTTTAATATTTTTCACGTTTTATACTAAAGATATTAAAAATCGATTTTAGATTATATGCTGTGAATGCCTGTTCAAGTCCTGTCCGCGTCGTAAACTTTTTAAAATTTAAAATCAATTTTTAATTTTGTTGTGAATAACCAAAGTACTTAGTTGCTTTTTTAAACTATAATTACAATCATTCTTTATCCTAATTTTTCAGAATGACATCAAGCATGCAAAAAGATGCCAATGTTGCAGAGAATTTATATTATATGCTACAAAAGAAAGTAAAAGAAAAAATATCATGTGAAATCTGCGATAAGAAATTTAGTAATAGGTTTGTCTATATTATATTATGTCTATAGTCTTATTAGTTTTTATTGTCATGATATTTGTAAATCAATTTCGGATTTTATTTTAATCTAGATTTTAACTAGGTAATACTTTTTTATAATACAGGAGAACGGTCAAGCATAGATTCACTTGATGGTAGATAAATACTCCAGCCATATCCAAAAAATGTGCTGTCAATCTATTTTTGGCTTTGAATATTCTGAACATAGTTTATTTTTCATTCGAGACTGGCAATGGACACCATTAGCGAAGAATCTTTATTGATAATTTCAAAAATACATGAGTGATATTGACTCTGATCAAATTAGTATTATATTGTTGACTTCAGTTTTCATTATTCAATAAACAATGTATGACAACATATTATATTAAATACTGTCTATAGTTTACACGAGTAGAACACATTTAAATAAAACACTAATGGTTTAAAAAGCGATATATTAGTTGAACTTATTTGAAAATGATATTTACCTTCGGCCCAATGTTTTGGATGCTTTGCAGCAGCCGTGGTCACAGGGTCTCCCCGTGATTATTTTCAAATAAGTTTAACTATCGCGTTTTAAACTGTTAAAGTGTTTTATTGAAAAACATATTATATTTTCAGATACAACAGCATAGTCCACAACACGAAACACATAATTATACCACTTTTGAGGCATCAAATTCATAAATGCTGTAGCTGTCACTGTGCCTATATATCTGTAGATGATCTAATCAAACATATGTTAAAAAAACACACAACCACCTCCCCGAGATCTTCATGCTTGGTTAATATCGTAGACTCTATAAAAACCAATAAATTGAGTAAGGCTTCTATAAAAGCCTTCATAAATCCCACTTTGACTATAGACAATGGCGCTCGTAATGAGATAGAACCAACGATTGACAATCAGGTGACAGTCTGTGATGATTCCGGCAAAGTTACAAGTGACAAACCTAACGATTCGTGGAGAGTTTCAATAGACAAGAAGGTATCGCTTAGAGATTCCGTCAAAGAGGAAGGAGAATATATTTTACCGGATGTATATTATGATGTTAAACTAGAACCCAATACTACATACGATGATGATAAAGCCAGTTATCCAGTTAAGAGAGAAATGTCAGAACAGGTTACTGAAGTAGAAGTCGGCAAAACTATAATAACTCCCAGCTCTACCTTCTTTGACAATAAACATTATATTGATACCTTCGACACATTGGACATTAAGCCAAGTACGTGTGCAAAAGAATCTTCATTACATCAAGTAAGGGTTGGCTCAACCCCATTCTCAGTAAACAGTGAAAAATACGAACCGATCTGGGAACAGATTAAAATTAATGTTGGGGCTATTGTAAAACATAAAAGATTCGGAGTGAGCATACACTATGATCAGCTCCGTATTCAGGGTGCATGGGCGTGTCAGTATTGTCCATTAAAATATATATCACGGTATGTATTATTTATAATAATATGTTTTATTATGTATAAGTTTTATTAAGTCAAGTCACAGAAATTGTATCCGCCCCGATCCCCACCCAGGTGACTCTGTGATTTCGTGGTAATTTCACAAAATGCGGCGCAGTGCCCTTTAACTGATACTAGCTATTAGTATATGTGTATCTCAACCCTTTTTTTCAGCTACTGCCTCATTCTCCACGAAACTACCCACATGCGCTTTATCAAACCGGAGCCGTTATTTTGCAAATTGTGTGACAGGTATGTCGCATCTCCTACTATCAAAGATCACATCGACATAACACACCCTGGACTCGACTTCAGAACGTTGAACCGACTTTCAGTGGGTATTTGCAAGGTGTGCAATTTGAAATTTTCAAATTACCCTCGCCATGAGCGAATTTACCATGGATCTCTAAAACAATTGGAAGTACCGCCAGCTGTAGTATTTACCAGAATATGTAGAACGTGTTTGGCGGATGTGGGTGCGTCCACATATTACGGAACGACTGCGGAAATAAGTTCATGCCAGATTTGTAATAAGTGGGCGATGAAAATGAATATTATTAGGCAAACGATGGCGAAGAACCTCAAATTCGAAGAAGAAGTGAAACAGAAGCAGAGGAAGAAGAAGTGTCTGTCTAACATGGCACGCCTTAAGAATATACAGATGCGATTAAAGATGATTAATAAATTGAGTAAATTTTATCCTTGTATTATTTCATGTCATGTTCTTAATAGAATTTAGTTTGATATTTTTCGATAGTGCAAAGTTTCTTTAAAATTGGCCCAGTAGTTTTGGGGGCTGGAACTGTTTGTTCAATCAATACGACACTAGCGACTGCGAAGTGCGTATTGTCATTTTTTGGCATCTACTGGTTTTAAAAACATGTCGGAAATGCTTTGTCCCTAGTCAGTGACATAGAACCATTCGTGCGGGATTTCGACTCGCGTTCGTTTAAATATAAACAAAGACAAATTGTCAAATGTCAAAAATCTTATCTAGGTATGTTACCGATTATTTCTTTATAACATATTTAATGTTATAGAGATTGCCACTGAAAACATTATGTAGGTTTAAATAGACGTATAGTGTCGCGGACATTTTTTTTATTATTTAAAGAAGAATCATTACTTTCACAAATTTTTCGATTCAAACCGTTTTCGCAGCGTACGCGTTGGAAACCCACAGATAAATAATTTATCACCACAGTCCTATCAGTCACAGCGCATGCGCTCATGTTTTATGGCCTATAGCCTTTCTCGGTAAATGCTGTAGCTAACACAAAAACATTTTTCAATTCGAACTTGTAGTTCCTGAGATAACGGGTTCAAACAAACAGACTCTTCAGCTTAATATATTAGTACAGATTAGAAATATGTTGGACCCGATGAAAAACCACGACCCGTTGATTATTACACCAGCGAACCCGTCACTTAAGCGAGTTAGTAATTAGAAAGTGACGATCGACAGGCTGTTGCCAAGAGTATAAACAGCTTGGCAACGAACCTAGACTTTATGTAACCAACTTAATATATCTTTGAATTTGAAAAACTTGTGGCTTGGACGGGACTTGATACGACGATCAGAGCTTTACCAACTAAGCTACTGATCAATTTGAAATATTTTTTGTGTTATATGAACGAAAGCTTTAGAAAGAACCGTAACTCAAAAGATTTAACGGGCTCTCGTTGGTAGTAATGTAGTAATGTATTCTTAAAAGAAATTGGAAATAAGTTAACTAATACATTCCGCGATTTAAACGTTAAAAGTGTTTTATTTAAATGTGTACTAGCATGAACTAATGACTTGTCCTAGAGGTTTAAAAAATTGATCTATGGAACAAACAATTTATTAGTATTATGCCGCCTTCCCCATGCCCCATATTGGGGAAACGGGATTTCCTTTTTATTTAGTTACTAGCTATTGCAGCGACTTCGTCCGCGAGAATCGTTATCTTGGGCCTTCAAATTAGGTTTTGCAAACCCCGTCATCTTTATAAACTTAAGCTGTTAGCTACGACGTCGATCGCGTCCCTTCCCGTCGTTTTTGCAAGTTAATCTTAAAAGATAGGTAGACATATAGCATCATGGAGTTTGTTTTAGGTCATTTAAATATTCTATTCTCATTTAGTATTCTTTCATACACATTTTTTACATATCTTTATATTGATGGGATGACTTGATAGATGATAACCGTTTTCACAGCGTACCGGTAGTGCCTAAGATTAGCGCGTTCAAACAAACAAACTCGTCAGCTTTATATATTAGTATAGATTATTACATGATTTCTGTGTGGCTTGATACATAGATAACCTAGTCGTAAACAAAGGAAACACGCAGTCCCTATAAATAACAACAAAGGGAATTGAATACAATAATTTTATTTATTTTTAGCAGTGTCGTCGCTAAATGTACGCAAATAAATGTGTAAGCCAAATAGGTTACAACCTAAATAGGGTAAGATTACAACATATTATTTTGGTATATTTGGTAGTGGGGTCGATTCTTAGAAGGGTCCACATGTTCGTAAATAATATATTACTAGCTGTGCCCGTGACTTAGTCTGTGAATTTAAATTTGTCTGTTATTTTGGTATCATATCTTTACTCATAGAGCTGAAGAGTTTGTTTGTTTGTTTGAACGCTGTTATTTTTTTGTGTTGGCTAGACCATTTATTGAGGAGTCATTAGGTTATATAACGTCATGTTGCGACGAATAGCAGTGAAAAAATAGTGGGAAATGTGATCCCCACGGGGAAAATTTTTTCCCCCTGGGGGGGTGGTTTCCCCGGGGGGGGGGAAGGGTGGGGGAAATAAAAAATTTTTTGGCCGGGAATTTTGGGAATTTTTTTTGGGGGGGCCCCCAATTTTTTTTTTTAACCGTTTTTGGGGTTTTTCCCCCCCCCCCCCCCCCCCCCCCCCCCCCCCCCCCCCCCCCTTTTTTGGGGTTTTTTAAAAAAAAAATTTTTTTTTTTTTTTTTTTTTTTTTTTTCCCCCCCCCCCCCCCCCCCCGCCCCCCCCCCGCGGGTTTTTTTTCTTTTTTTTTTTTTTTTTTTTTTTTTTGGGGGGGGCATGTTATTAGCCTTTAGCCTTCCTCGATAATTGCTCTAACCCTCATTAATGATTTTTCCAATTCGAACCATTAGCTCCTGAGATTAGCGCTTTCAAACAAACTTTTCATCTTTATCTATTAGTATAGATGTGCGATGATCTATTACCTACAACGCCGCCTCCATCCCGTCGTCCTTGCAAGTTATCAAGACTTGTGTCGCAGACATTATTTTATATCAGAGAACATTCCATCATTCCATCACCAACCGTTTCTCTAATCAATGTATAATTTGTATGAGACATGTTAGACTTCTTCTGGAAATCTGGATATTAAATTTGTGGAAAAATATCGAATTGCCGTCCACGTCGCGGACCGTGGATTGTCGAATATACAAAGAAAGGTTAAGAGACATCTGCTTAGATGTAATTGTATTCCCATATAATTAACCTACTTCGTCTTTAAAAAAATATTTTTGAAGAATAACAAAATACATGTTAAGCTCCATTAGCCCCATCTTATCCACGACCCATAAGTAAGCCGCACATTATACCATCGAGCCCCGCTAAAGAATCCGATATTTATGGCTGCATAATGGCTGGTGCATTTATCATATGCAGCGTTGAACTCGCGCAAAAATAACACGCAGTATTTGGCCGCAATACGACTACAAAAACTATGGAGACGCTGCCGGCTCATCTATACTAATATTGTAAAACGGGAGAGCTTGTTTGAACGTGGTAATCTTCGGAACTACTGTTTCAAATTGAAAAATTCAGTTTGAACCAGTAGTTTCGGAGTTTGAGTGGGGAGGATTCTGAGTGTTCACTAGAGCATTTATCGCGTTGGAATTTGAGCTATAAAACGTCCAGCTGCGACTATACAGGAGCGAAGATACAGCTGGAAAAACAAAAAAAGTAACTTGACGATATGATTATATGTGTATGTGATATCCCGTTCCTCCTCGTGGGCATTGAGCAGACACATTGGCAAGTAGTTGATCGTATTTACAAGAGCTTTTACGTGTCCTGCCCTACCGCAACAGTCTATTGTTTCCTCGAGAATCCAACCCAGGACCTCTCGCGCTTAACGCAATGCTAGACAACATTTTTAACCATTAAGCTACAGAACATTCGTAATAAACTATTTAAAATTACGTTTCTACGAATCCCCCTCATAAATTCAATTGTTTAATAAATAAATCTCTTACACCCAATATTATACTATAATTGTACTAATGTTTGCGTAGGTACAACGTACCTAATCGACATAATGTGAAACTATTTCGCTTGTGTTTGCTCGGCCTCTGAAGGGGTCACAGAATATCAGTGTTGGGACATTAGTCCCAACGTAGCCGAGTGGACTCCTTTTCGGAGGTAACTATTTAATTTTTTTTATTATTTCATATGTAATGAGTTCAGTTTTATTTTATTTGTAATTATTTTTTTTTATTGTGTTTGTTAAATGTCTTGTGTTGTTTCCGAATAAATGTCTTCTATTCTATGATAATATTATATGTAATTAATAACGCGCTAATCGCAGGAACTATAAGTTCGAATTGAAAAATTCTTGTTACAATAATTTGACGCAAAATTCTACGCGAAAGATGTCGAGGGCTGAACTAGTTTTAATAATACCGATATTTATTTTAACTTCAGATTGTTGAATTATCAAACATAAAACATTATATTGTACAATTTACAAAACATTAACTCAGTACTTGGTTTGAAAACTTTAATTATTTCCCCATGTTATTTGCACATGATGACGTTACAGAAATTAAAAATCGATTTTGTTTCGAAAAAAATTTTTACGACAGCGATAGACATTGAACCGGCATTCACAGCGTTTCGGGCTGTTGCTCTAAGCAATGGATCTATCGTGTCTTACACGTCATCGTCAAGTTTCTTCAACCTATTCATTGATGCACCTCCTCTCGCAATGTAGTACGTTTTTTAACACTTTAACGGTTTTAAACGCAATATATATTAGTTAAACTTATTTGAAAATTATTTTAAATACCGCCTGATGTTTCGGATGTTTTTCAGCAGCCGCAGTTTGCAGCGGCAGTAGTAACGGGGAGACTAAAGATGGAGGGTGCCTCTGACGTCAAAACCATGTTCCGACGAGTTGGTATTTGGAGAAACTGGCCGTTACTTCGGGCCGTAGTTAAAATTATTTTCGGATTAGTTAAACTAATATGTACCGTGTAAACCGTTGAAGTGTTTTATTTAAATGTGCACCACTCGCGCGAACTACAGAGAATATTTAGTACTTAGTTGTCAAAATAAAATTGATAATAAAGGCGGCTCTACGGATTTATTTTTAGGCTAGTCAACGTATTGTATAAAATGAATCAGTGTATAACTGTCCGCAAGCAAAACGGGATTGCTTGAGAGACTGATAGATAAAAAATATTGTCGTTTTGAACTTATAAAGAAATAAGTGTGTAATACTTAAGTGGTCTGTGGTTGGTTTAAATATCTGTGTGCGGTGTTGTCACTTTATAAAATTTCCCCTAATTTTAGGTAAAATAAAAATTTCATTTTATATTGAATGATTATTAATATTTTATGTAACCTCTATAACTCGAAAGGTTGGGAGTGAAAGTTAATTTGCGTTCACAACAATAAAAAATTGTTCGTTATCGATATCGCAAATAAACATTTTATCTTTTTTGAAATATAATTAGCAATTAAATAAGAATACAGGTGTTATGTATCAATTTTGTAAGACATTGAAGGTTTCCTACAATAGATCTAGGTATACTTCTTATTAATTTTGATAAAAAAATTATTGAATATAGGTAAGTTCAAAAAAAAAATAATATTCAGCCTTGGTAAAATTTACTATTTATAAGGTAATTTAAATATTCATATATCTTTTCGACAGTAGGTATTCTTTTAACGGTTTAAAACGCATGATTTAGAAACTAACCTATTTTGAATTTTCAAGTCCCCACCATGACCAAGCAGCTGCAAAACATCGGAAACATCAGGCTTTTTTAAAATGAATGTAAAACATTGACGAATAGATTTCGCGTTTTGAACCATCAAACGCGTTTTATCTAAAGGAGTAATACTCGCGTACAGTACTTTTATTTATGTAAATTTATCCATAACAAAAAATCTTAAGTTATTTTTACAATTAAATAATTTTTAATCACGTTATTCCATGAATTATTGTGAAATTTATTTATTGAATTTTGAACTGTTGAAAATGACTTATCTTAATATAATACTATATCGTGATTATTTTAATAACAAAGTCTGAAGTATACACGAGTATATTAACTAGCGCTTTTAACAGTTTAAACATAGCGTATAGTCATTAAGACTGGTCTTTCGCAGCGTGACAACGACATCAAAAACATCCGATACCTGTTTCGAACCGTTGAAACATTGAATATATTACAAGCACATTCGATTTTTTAAGAATTTGGACAAAGTTTGGACAATCAAAGAGCTGAAAAAATTCTTTTTACCTTGACGTAATTATTGTGACACATTTTTAAGCCCCAATGACCGCATACATCTTTCATCCACCAGCTGTTAAATTGGCAATATGACAAATTTATGAGTACAAATAGACAATAATTATGCTAAGCTAATTGTTCATTAGACTATAGGACGTTATAGGATCTTTTAAATAAACTTTAACGGTTTAAAACGCATATATATATTAGGTAAACTAATTTGAAAATTATTTAAACAATGGCCCGACGTATTAGAGGCCAGACGCCAAACAACCAGGAATGCTATTAGCAGTTTTTTCTTTGACTCAGAATCCTCCATCTTTAGTCTTCCCGTGACCAGGAATGCTCAAACATCCAAATGTCGGACCGCAGTTACATAATCTTTACTACTATATATCGTGTTATAAACGTTAAAGTGTTTTATTTAAATGGGTACTACTCGCGTAAACACAACAGTATTATAGAATCTATTCAACCGACTAATTTCCCAGTGTTGGGAAGAGGTCTTCCAGTTTACGTAACTAATTTGCATTTCAAAAAACACTTTTAAACGTTGTAGATGCCGGTTCAAGCCCTCCTGTAATTTTGTCAGTTTATTCAATATTTAATTTAAATTGCAATAACATGTGAAAAATATTAAAGTTTTCAACACTTCTAACGGTTTAAAACGCAAATATATTTTTAATAAATACTCGACGTTTTGGTTTTTTTGCAGCAGCCTGGTAAACAAAAAAAAGTTCAATTTTAACTTTGTGCTATAAGGCATGTACGGGGACTTTCCAGTTCTTAAATACAATATTTTTACGGCATATATTGCGAAATATATTCGTTAACCCATTTCGGACTTTGATTTGACGTTTCGGGTTCTTTGCAATATCTGTGGTCATGCTAAATTTATTCAGAACGTCATGTGCTAGATGAAACTAATATATTTTTCATTTTAAATCGTTAAATGTGGTTTAAATGTGTACTTGTGTAAAGACAATATTTCATTATCAATTCTTTTACATCCTTTTTATTTTCTATGTAACGAATTAAAAATCTAGAATTCAATGTAAATAAATACTGTAACTATAATAATACGAATATAATAATATAAGCGGAAGAGTTTGTTTGTCTGGACGCGATATTTTTTTTTTTGAATATCGAGGTAGGTTTTAGGCTGTAAAATATCACGCTGCTACCAATAGTAGCGAAAAAGCAAAGGGAAATGTGAAAAATAAACGGTGAAATTTAATCAACGTTAAGGGTTTCTCTTTAAAAGATCTAAAAGAATTTAAATAAAACACTTTAACGGTTTCAAACGCGATATATTAGTTAAACTTATTTGAAAATGATTTTTAACTTCGGCCCGACGTTTCGGATGCTTTGCAGCAGCCGTGGTCACGGGGAGACATACTATATCGCGTTTTAAACCGTTAAAGTGTTTTATTTAAATGTGTACTACTCGCGTAAACTATAGACAGTAGATCTAAAAGAAGTTCCGCGGCAGCATATGTCTATCTGTTAAGAATATGATCGGAAAGAACGAAGGGACGCGAACGACATCATGGTTAACAGTTAGGTACAATTTAAAAAGCTGAGAAGGTTGTTTTCAGAAACAAATATTGACGTCCGAAATAACTATTCTATGACGAAGCCATGAACACAGATAGTAAATTGTATAATTATTTACAGTATTAATATTTGAATAAAACATTTTAACGGTTTAAAAAGCGATGTATATTAGTTACACTTATTTGGAACTTATATTAACTGCGACCCGACGTTTTGTATAAACTACAGACAATATTAGTATTATATGTCCTAATAATTTCATAAAAAAATACGATATATAATGAAGGTTTCCAGTGTCACAGTCCAATTTTTATTCCACTAGACTAAAAACTTTATTTTTGTTGGCAACACTGTAGTGACATTTACCCGCGAAAAGTTGCTGCGCGTAATTCGGTGCGCTGCACCGACCTAAATATTATAATTCAGGCCAATCTAATCAATCGGTTCCTCATAGAAAACATTACTTACTGTTAGACTTATACTAGAACACTCGTCTGTAGATTACGAGGTCCTATTTTGGAACGAATGACTATATATATAGTATATGTATTTTTATATATAATGTATTTTTTTCTAACTTGACAAAAGACTGCTTCAAATATGGCTGATTTCAAACCATAGAGCGTGATGACCTTTTATAGAATGAAGTCCTTGCCACAGATGACACAGGGTTAAAGAAATATCGACTTCAATATTAAAAACCGCGGACTTTTTTTATTAAAAGTTATTATTATTATTTAACTCGACGTTTGCAATACTTTTCAGCGATCGTGCTCGATTGGGACTTCTACCTTCTATTGTGACGTCTTCTAGTGTCACGATTTCATGTATTTTGTTTATTTGTTTACCAAAAATTCCAAGTTAGAAAAGGTGGTGTTATCATCACCGTACCTCGAAACGCTATCGTTTCCTGCTATTATCGCTAAGTTTTTTTTTTGTGATATGAAGTGTACTTGGTAGGTGAAATATTCAGCAACATAACATATAGATATCGTATTTTGGCTTTGGATATTCGGAAATCACAGACTGAAACGCGTAATGAGAATAAACTTCACGCCTGTTTGATTTCCCATTTTCCTGTTTTTTTACATTTTTCGCTATCGATCGCCGTGTGTTGTTATAGAACTTAAAGCATGATTAATATTTTTCATATATAAATTAAATATTGATTATTATAAAAAAAACCGCCACGGGCAAGATCAGGTCCTGATTTTCAAAAAGCTTTCCGCGATAAATGGTCCATCCAGCACTGTAGAATTTTTCAGTTCGAACTAGTAGTTTCTGAGATTAGCGACTTAAAACAAACAAACTCTTCAGTCTTATAATATAGAGAGAATAAGAATTAAAAAAGTGACAACACTGAGCAATGTTAAACTTGTCTAACAGCCAGACCTTTTCTTAAAAGTAAAATAATTTAATAGACAAGGCACAGATCATAGAAACAATCTGTCAATGTCAAAAATTGGTTTCGCGGCTTTTTCGCAATGAGCGACTCGGATTGTTCGAGCTGCGAGGAAGACGTGGATTCTGGTATCGTTGATGAACCCGCTCAGCAGCGTCGTGACGTCGACTGCATGGATCTTTCGGAATTCTTCAGTTATTGGTGAGTATATAGATAGGCAAGGAAGTAAAACACAGTCGAATAAAACAATTAATGGCTTTTAACGTCAGAAACAGTAATATTTTTATGGGAAGGACGACGTCAAGATATCGAAAAGAGATCTTAAATTACAGATCTAACATCTAAATACTAGACTCAGATAAAGCACACCTCTAAACGAGAAGACACCCGTTTATTTAAATATCAATTATGACTAAACCGGTGGCGCTATCGAAGCAGTTTTGACTTTGACACTAGGGTCACCCTCCCCCGTGACCACAGGTACTGCAAACCATCCGAAACGTCGGGCCATATTTAAAATAATTGCGAATTATGTTAACTAATAATATTTCGCGTCTCGAACAGTTAAGCGTTTTATATAAATGTCTTCTACTCAGACTCTAGTCAAATCAATATTTTTATACTATATTTTATTTATATCACTATTACTATGTCATGTAGTTTTATGTGAAATGTCCTATACAATTTTTAAATAAAACTATTTAACGGTTTAAAACGTGATATATTTTAGTTAGTACGGCTGCTGCAAAGCATTTGACACCGGGAAGTAGTTAAAAATAATTTTCAAACGATGTACTTTAATTAAAGTTAACTAAAATATATGGCGTTTTAAACAGTTAAAGTGTTTTATTTAAATATGTACTACACGCGTAAAACTACGGACAGTATATGTCCTATATACCATTAAAAGTTTTATTAATCTGTTTTCATTAATTATCTTTTAAGTAGCTTCGTAATCTGTGAAAAGGCTAAGACTTTTCCAGCTTCTCTTCTTCAATTTCAAGGGGTGGGGGGGTTCCCCTGTTCTTCACTCTAGTTACGAATACAATTAAAGTTATAAAAAAGACAGTCCTTATAGAAATTAAGTTTTACTTAAAAAAATAAAGTAGTAAGTTTCTCCTTTTAATTTATTATGAAATAAACATACTCCATTTATATACTACAGTATCATTTTCAAATTTCAATGCCATCTGTCTGGTACTTGAACAGGATTGTTATCAGCAACAAGTACCCCGTTCCCACTATCATTGTCGACTACATGAACCCCTCCACCACAGTCATTGTCTACCACATTTACACCCCCTCCATAGTCGTTGTCAACCACGTTTACTCCTCCACCATAATCATTGTCAACAACGTTGACTCCACCGCCATAATCATTGTCAACCACGTTGACTCCACCGCCATAGTCATTGTCGACCACCTTGACACCACCGCCATAGTCATTGTCAACCACGTTGACTCCTCCACCGGGATTGTTATCGGCGACTAAGACTTCGTCACCATTCTACAAAGAAACATTTTAGTATTACTCAAAAAGAATTGAAAAACATTCCTCATATGTTTTTGCACATACATATATTTTTTTTCAATCAATTTAAATAGATTTTAAATTTTTATTAAATTAATTTTTTCCGTTTCCATCAAGGTGTTAAAAACAAATTAACTAATATATAGCGCGTTTAAAACCATTCAAAGTGTTGTATTTAATTTGTACTTATATTTAAAAAATATGGAAGAAAGCCTACAGCTTTATTTTTAATGTTTTTTTTTTGTATTCTTTGCAATATTAATATTGTTAAATTAACTTTTGTCCTACATACAAAAAACATACCTAAAGAACAAACTCTCGTGTTTAATGTAATTCATCTACTGACAAATAGACATATTTGTATTTTAATATAAAATTATACTTTTAAATATAATACTTTAGACAGGTAGGGGAGACATGCCCCCCCGTGACACAGGGCTGCAAAGCATTCGAAACGTTGGTCGAAGTTAAAGTCATTTGCAAATAAGGCTGACTAAATAAGCGTTTTAAACCGTAAAGGTTTTATTTAAATTTAAAACTATGACAGTACTTAAACAGGTTGTATTTTCGCAGTGGCTTTTCCAATTGTCCGGGGTTTCGATTCAAGTGCCTAACGTGTTGAAAATAAACTTATATTTCTTAAACATTTTCTATGAAAACATTGAATAAGTGGTACGAATATTGGAATTCCTTCCACCGTCTATAGATAAAAAGCCATGTTTTTTCACTAAGCGAATATAGGAAATACTTCGACAGCACATATTGTGTAGAAATAAGGCTGCTAGAGCCAGAGTGGCCTAATACCAAAAAACATGATGCAATAAGGAGGAAAATAAAAATGCCCAATCAACTTACGCGAAAATGAATTTGCACTGTTTGTGTAAGAATTATGTTAACAATTCTCGGTCACTGTGCCCTTGTAGATTAACATTTTCAGACTAATAAGTCATAATGGCAGTTAGGCCACTCTGCCTCTAGCGGCCTTATAGATAACCTTCCACGCTAATGTTTGTCTGTCATGAAAAATACATGTATATTTACCCCATCGGTTACATATACACCGCTCATTTTCCACTATTTTCCAGTTATGCAGGATAAATACTGAATCGACCAGACCTCGGTCGTTTGTTTTGGTCACTCCGATAAGATAAGTCCTGATAAATGATAAATCAATACGTACTGTTAATACGATGTGCAATTAAATCGTATAAAAGTAACACTTAAATACTGTCCGTAGTTTACGCGAGTAGTACAAATTTAAATAAAGCACTTTAACGGTTTAAAACGCGACATATTAGTTTTTTTTTAATAAGTTTAAATAAATATATCGCGTTTTAAACCGTTAAAGTGTTTTATTTAAACTAACACTTCTCTACCTGTACTATTATATAATGCTGAAAAGTTTATTATTGTCTTTCGGGCTGTTTCGATTAACTCTTTGGCAATCGAGGAGTTAACGTCTCCTGATGATGCCGTCCAATCTCGTGATAACGACACGTTGAGAACCTCGACGCGCCGCGACGTCGAATAGGAAAGACACTGTATGTTGAAAGATGGCCGTGAAACCTTACACTATTTCACGGGGACAAAGTCGCTGTCTAACGCGCTAATCTCTAATCATACACTTTTAAACCGTTTAAAACGCCCCGTATTGTATTATTGCAATTTAATTTAACAATCACCTGCAGACGTATTCGAAAACGAGCCGAAGATAAATATATTAGAAATAAGTTTATAACAATATATTGCGATTTAAACAAAATGTTTATTTTTCACCTTACTTGAGTTTTACTTACTTAAACATACTACCGAGGTGAATAAATACTAGAACGTCGGGCCTCGTCGGGTCGTGTCGGATTTGGCATATTTGTTTCTAGGTCACTGATCGGTTTTATTTAAGTAAGCTTGACCGTAATATTTAACGTGCTAACGCGTTTGACAGCCCGTCTCTCTAAATTATGTACATATTAAGATTTATTTTAACCACCGTAACTCAATAGTTTATACCGGGGTTCGACCAGGAATTACATATTATACGCCTGAAATTAACTGTACAGCAACGACGATCATATGCAATTAAATATCTATTTAGCACAAGGCGAGTATTTTAAAAGTTACCTTCAATAATTTTAAAAGTTATTGTATGCTTCGCTTTTACGTTGTATAAATATTCTGAAATCATAGAATGTTTATTAATGAGTCCATCCCAATAGTACCAAAAATCATATTTTTTTACTAGCTGTGCCAGCGACTTTGGTCGCGAGTATCGTTATTTTGTAAACCCCTCTCCGGTCATCTTTATAAACTTAAGCTATTACCCACGACGCCGGTCGCGTCCCTTCCCGTCATTCTTAGAAGTTAAATATATAGCGTCGCGGATTTTTTTTTAGATCATTTAAAGAGGAATTATTCTTTCATACACATTTGGGTATCATGAACCGTTTTCGCAGCGTACGCATCGGAAAAACACAGAGTGTTTTGTACACATTACCCGCTGTATCTTCGCTCCTTTATTCACACGCAATGCTTTATAGCCTATAGCCTTCCAAAATGTTCTAGCTAACACAAAAATAATTTTTCAATTCGAACAGTAGTTCCTGAGAATAGCGTTCAAAAAAACAAACAAACTCTTCAGCTTTATAATATTAGTAGAGATGATTTCGCCGCAAATAACACAGCACCACTAACTTCTAAATAATAAAATCTGTGGGATCGTGGTACTGCCAAAACAAAACAGTTTTAATACACACAAGCATACGAAAGACTTATATATACTAAATATATAAAGCTTAAGAGTTTGTTTGTTTAAATAAAACACTTTAACGGTTTAAAACGCGATATATTAGTTCAACTTATTTGAAAATGATTTTTAACTTCGGCCCGACGTTTCGGATGCTTTGCAGCAGCCGTGGTCACGGGGAGACTAAAGATGGAGGATGTCTCTGACGTCAAAGTAAAGATGAAGTTGCAAAAACTAATTTGGATGTCCAAAATTACGATTCTCGCGGACAGAGTCGCTGACACAGCTAGTAGTACATACAATTCGTGCAAATTTAATCAAATGACTAGTTATAATCGCGGAAACAATACATATGATGTAATCCAATGCCCATATATTAACGGACCAATGAACCAAAAACAACTTTCACTGAATTTTCATTCTGTTACGAACGGGATTATGAAAATATCAATCTACATTTTTTAACTAGATTTTAACATCCTCGTTCACTGTATAGGTACAAACATAGGTGTTTTAACCAATAAAGGATTTTATCAGCAATTTGGTGTTAATTTATTAAATTTAAAGTCAAAGTATGCCCTAATGAGATAAACGATTTAAAACGGGTAATATATTACTGATTTTTCACGACTCATTTCGGACACATTGCAGGTTTTATTTGGTATATTTCGCGTTTGACATCGTTAAAAGTGTTCCATTTAAATGAGTATTCGTGTAAAGTCAATACTCAATTGAACATTGCTTACACAGGCGAAAAATTATAAACAGCTTTATTTAAATAATTTTCCTATGTTAATGAAATATAATTTTTGATAATATTCTTTAAAAAAATAACAACAATAATCCTGTTCTGCTCTCGGCTAAAAATTGTTTGGTGTGATCGAGAAATACTATATTATAACAATAAATATTTTAATATATAGTTTCGGCCGAGCCGGACACAATCACCGGCCGGACAGATATGCATCTGCCAGTATGTAGATATGTTCTGTCATATTTGTCACAGATTATATAACAGTAGGTACATACCTAGGCTACCATACTCAGTATTCCATTGTTTAAGATAAAACGAGCATATTTTTGCGCCCAAGCCACCCTCGAAAAGGCCTTTGTCCTCTCATATCCTAAAATTACCACCAGGAATGTGACTCAAGCAAAACGAACCCACTCAGCGCTAATAACACTTCTATTTGTAATGGGTAATATTAACCAGTCTCATAGCGCCTGACTGCGGCGCGGACGCGGTGCTCGATTAAAAAAAAACAAACGTCGCGAGATACAGGTTGACAGCTGTCATTCTAATTTTGCAAATGGCGCGGTGTCAGAATTCGCGCGCTTTTGTGTTTACGATTTTAATGGACGGTGGATAATTATTGTTGTGAATATGTTTAGAGATCAGTGTTTGGAGTTGCGATGTTTTGTTAATGTTATTCTATTAACGCCCTCAATAATTTTCTCTCGATATCTTTTGAATGTTTATTTGGTAGCCAAGTGTATAATTCCTATATACCTTTTCGTCATTTTGAGTAATGTATACTAATATATAAAACAGAATAGCTAATCTTAGGAACTACTGCTTTGAATTGTAAGAATCTTTAAGTGTTTTTAGCATCTATTTAAGAAGGATACATTATGAAACATTGCGTTGTGACTAATAGAAGCAAAAAGTAGCGGGAAATGTGGGAAAAACGGGGAAAATTATTAATTTTGTGGGTTTCCGATGAGTGCTCTGCAAAAACTGTTCAAGATACCTAAAAAATATGTATGAAATAATGATTCCTCTTTAAATGATCTAAGAAAATGTCAGCGACACTGTCCATCTTTTAAGATTAAGTTAAAATAACAGCTTAAGTTTATAAAGATGAAAACGAGGTTTGAAAAAACAAATTTGAATGCCAAAAATAACTCTTTCTACAGGGACGATGTCGCTGATACAGCTAGTACAATATATAAACAATACTATATTGTCTTACTTTGAAGAACTTTTCGAAGTACTTATTTTTTGCGTTAATCTACAAGGGATATTCTTTCCAAGCTAACATGGAAAAAAACTTTCTAGGTTTGAGATCGACAAAAATTCTCATAACGTCACGTAATTCGACCCTTCTTTTTTTAGTGTCAGAAATAATAATTTAATTTTTGCAATAATAAATGTATCAAATTTTTTAATTTTAAAAATTAAAGTCTACGTATTCGATTCGGGTCTCGTGAATAAGACAATAATTTGTATGTTTGTACGTACAATTAAAATAGAGTATCCGAAATTACTGCACAGATATTTTTGCGGTTTTTTATTAGTATATAACACCATAAAAAATATCACGCTTACGTCAAAAAAGTTTGTTACCGTCACGTTAATCTAATATATAAAATTCTCGTGTCACAGTTTTCGTTGACATACTCCTCCGAAACGGCTGGACCGATTTTGATAATTTTTTCTGCTTATCCGGTATCTATGAGAATCGGCCAACATCTATTTTTCATCCCGCTAAATGTTAGTCCACCCCTAATTTTTTTTTTTTTTTATGGACAAAATTTTTCATTTCTATTTTTTTATGATACAACATACGAAAATACATACAATCCTCAATTTTCACCCTTCTACGATCAACGTTTATTTTTTAATAGCCATTTTAGTAATTAAATCATTTTTCCTCTCCGCAAAACAACGTTTGCCGTGTCAGCTAGTGTTAATGTAAAAACAGAACCTAAATTCTATATACATTAGGCATGTTGAATTAAAAGCTTGCAAGCATTTTAATTATTTTTTATTTCATTATTATAATATATATGCTTAAGAAGAACGAGCTGCCTATAGGCAGTTTTACTAGCAAACGTAATCTAGTTTATTTTATCTCGCCTTGTCGTCTAATAACAAGTATCAACTTAAAAAAAACTTCTAAACGGTTTTATATTTTATGCACTGAAAGTACTGTAGCCCTTTCATTTGATACCCATATAAGGGTTGCGAAAAAATATGTGCTTGCAGGCCTTGTTAGATTTTTATTATATTTTTATTAACTACAACGGGATGCTAAATTAAAAATTTTATTTGACAAATAAATGATTCAGCTAAATAGAACCGTTTAAAACATGATTTTCAATAAGAAGAAAAATAAAAATCCGAAATTAATTTAGGCGAAAATTAATTTGTACTATTATTTGCGTAAGAATTATGTTAACAATTTTCGGTCACTGCGCAGATGTAGATTAGACAGAGATTAACAATTTTAGACTATAAAAATATAAATAAGTCAAGTCATAAAATTGCAGTTAGGCTACTCTGCCTCTAGTGGCCTCATGTAAACTACCATACTGAAATTTTTTC